GTCTGTATGGAAAGGGCGAAGCTTAGTTTGGGGAGTGATAGTTTCAGCAAGCCCAAGAGCTTCTTGAAAGAACGTATTTTTGTCGGCAGTGTCGAACCATTTATCAGGGTTCAATGCCTGCCAGATAGCGAACATGCGATCGATGTTGCTAGGGGATTTGTAAGTCATGACAACTGCAATATTTCCTAAAACTCAAGAATGATTAAACTTACCAATGATGAAGCCAGAAAAGAGGATCAAAGGTTGCTACTGGAATTTCAGACATATGTCCGGTATAGTTACCGCCCACCCAACCGTGCACAGTGTTATGGATATATTCCAAATTAACGTCTTTGCTGATATCATCTTGTCCTTTGCTGCGGAATGTCGTAGCAAAAGATATAAAATCCAAAGGATGGGTGAGCAGGCGGTATACCATCTCAGAAGCAGCTCCATATTTCCCCTCCCCCATCCATTGGGGGCTTTTTAGTGCTAGTGCGACCTGGTTATTGTTGACGACTCCATTTACCCATGTCTCCGAATCGGGGTTTTTGCTGTCTTCTATATCGGGGCTTCTGCTAGTTCCGATACAAGGGCCGAACTACACAACTTTAGCCCTCCACCATAATACCTAACAGAGGGATAGGTAGAACTTACATTAAAGTACATCCCCTTCCCGCCCTCCCCCGCCCAGGGGTCGAAGACTTGACCCACACCTTCGGACAAAAATGGTTCGTTCGTTGGCATTTTAAACTGATAGAGGGGGTTTTCCACTCTAGCTCTTTTACCGCTTGGGGTTGGTATAGTCGTTGTTGGATATTTGGCGAGTGTAGGCACTCTATGGTTGACAGCCCAATCCCAGAATGGAAGCCTCCACGAATCCGCAGCCTCCTTAAGCTGGGCTTGTCTATCCTTCGGGAATGCAGGAATGATGTCCGTTATCATGTTTTCGTAGAGAAGTTGCTGTTAATCCGATGTTATCAGAACCAGCGATTTGGATAAGAGAGGTAGTAGCATTCAGACACCATACCTCCAACAATACGAGATACGGACGATGCCATAGCGGGAAAAGGATATTGTTATGAGTGCAGTAGCCCTTATCTTTGGCTTCGTCCATTTGTGTATCGGGCTCGTCCCATGGAATATAAGGTTGACCATGAATACCTGAAGGATCGTCAGCAATTGAATCCTTTCCATATACTGTCATGTTAAATGGAGCCTACCGGCAACTTGGAAAAAGGAACCTCGCTCTCTGGGCGATGTATTCATGAGGTTACGCCAGGCCATAACAAACAAGTCCACCTGGTCTGCATTTGCCTTGTTGTTGCTCCATTCATCAATTTCTTGACGGATTGGAGCCTTTTTCTGTTCGGGGATCGTCCCCGCTTTGATTCCAGTGATCGCATAGTATTCGTAGGGGCGCTTGCTGAGGTACTCAGGAAGCTTGTAAGTCTTTGCAGTCATTTTTCTGGACGACGTGCTTCTTAGCTGTGTGGATGTGGGCGAGGAAAGGTCCTGAACGGAAGAGCTTTTTGAGTGGCCTAAAGGAAGATGGAGAATTTGACGCAGCATAGAGAATGTTTCAATCAGGCGTTCAGACCCAGGCAACCATGGGATATATATCACGCCGGATGAAGATCGAAGGAGAGCCAGATTTTGGGAACTGAAATAAGAACAGTTGTTTTTGTACTCTCTACCCCCTACCCGACCATGATTCCAGGTCCCAATTTTGGACACAAAAAGGGCCCAATCACAATGGATGCATAGCTGTCGAATGAGGAGAGCTGTGAAGCGATAGATAGAGAGTCATTCTCTCATGATGGAGAGATAAACTAGCCCCGCTTCGCGGCAGCATGGAGTAGCTGATTTGCCATGGTGGCTTTCCGAAAGCACACTTTGAGTGGCTAGGACTTTATTGAGGGGTACGGGCTCATCGCACCGTCTGCACGTATTCTGTGGCTGGCTATGCTGATGCAATTTATCAGTTGTCGACGTCTGACCGTTGCAGGGTATTCAAGCCGTAGCATGAGTTCGGATTTTGATTCTCTGAAATAAATGGATGATTGCGGACGCAGCCAAAATTTGGTTCGCTGAAGATTTGAAAATCGCCTGCAGCAAGGCTCGTGGTGCATACGATCTAACTAACACACCATCACAAGGTACAACAAACTGGTCTGTCTTCGGAGTTGCTCTATCATTAGGTCTGTGGCTAGAAGCCTATGACAAGTGAGCCCAGGGCTTGCAGCATCACGTAAAGATTAGTTGAGTTGCCATTGTGAGCCAATCTGCCAGAAGAAGTCAGTTCCTGATCAGCGAGCTGACATCAAATACTGTGCCATAGGCCTGTAGCGACCTGTTTCTCTCATGGATACGAATGAGAGCCAGTGACCTGAGCGGGGCGTCAAGCATGGAATGAGAGGTCGCGTCATGCTGCTTTCATGTCATGATTAGCTGTCTGAGTTGTGGCTTAAGGAACGAGTTCCTCAGGTCTCCACGACTTGCAGGGTTTCCTGTCAGGTCTGTATGTTCAACTCCTCCCCCTCAATGAAGCACGTTCTTTGGGATGTTGCGCGTGGCTAACGCTCTGTCCTACCAGAAAGCCAGGCTCGGTCCAAGGTTTTGGATTTTTGCCATCTGCGGAATAGTTGCTGCTGATCTTCCGTAGCTGTCAGGATTCATGAAGAGCTGATGGTTGAGGTGAGTTCGACCAAAGCTCTTTTGGCCTATCGGAAGCTGTAAGAAGATATGGAGCTGCGTGCTAATATCCTCGGTCCACCTCACCCATACGTTCCAATTAACTCTAATTTATTTTAAGTTACCACCATTCTCTCATCTATTACATTGAGCTAGCTTACTGCAGTGTCGTTGATCCCTTGGGCGTCAAACGAACCAACGATAAGCAACAAAGGATGAGACTCGGTTAACTATGTGCATGGACATATGTGATAAAATGCATGCACTGGACCTGCTATGGTTCGGACGCACGTTGGCATTTTCGCTGTACTATGAAAACTACTGTCTGTGTTCTTCTGAAAGAATTGGTATGTTTTTGTCGAACAGAAGAAGCATTTTTCCAGGTCAATCATTCGGGTTCATTCCACCGCAACTAGCACCATTTAACTAACTACCCAGCCGAAATGTGACCCATTTGCATAAATGTCCGCCAAACCCCACTTAAAACGATAGCCAACTTTCGATCCCTTGTTAGTCTCCCCATAACTAACTCAGAGGTGAAGCCACGGTTCCCTCAGTCAAAAACTTGTAATTAAGTTGAATGGATTGGCAAAGTACCTTTTCTCTCGAACGATAAATAACAAACCGTCGAGAAGCCGAAGAGAAAACGTGTTTTGAGCTGACGAGTAGGCCGTCAACATTTAACTAGTTAACGAACTTTACCCAGCAGCATACAGAGAACCAAAATTGAGCCAGGTTGCGGAACAGATACGGAACCATGAGTTCATTGAACTCCGGGAATTCACCACCAAAACAACTTGATATTCTAGCTGCAGCCTCAAATGGCATGTTCCAAATCCTCGTAAGGTTTTCAGGATCATCTTGGATATTTTGTGTAATGAATGACTATGCTTCTAGAGATAACTAGTTAGTTAGCTAACACTATGTTCAAGTCCATTTCTAAGAAGCTCAATTAAAAGACTGATTTTAGAGGCTAATTGAGTTTCCCTTGTCATGCAGTTTGTTAAGGATTAGTTGTATCCCTTGCTACTTTGGATTCCCAGGTCACTGTTGACGAGTTACCCGCTCAGGTAAACCCCCTTCCGCTAGCTAACGCTAAATGAGTTGTTAACCCATTATTTTGAAACCTTTCCTCTTGACCTGGTCAGACTATAGCTCCAGAACCATTCAAAGGACGGACGGTGTGGAAAACTTCCCTTGCTGAGTCGCCGTCGCCGAAGTCTGCCTCGATTGCTGATCGTCCACGCTTGTTATTCTAATCCATCAGAACCCCTCCACGAGGTTGTGAACAGCCAAGAAAAAAATCCCAGCCGGCAAGGGCTGGCATCCATTGCTGATCTTCAATGGACACTTTAAATTTCGAAACTAAAATCTGCTCAAAATCTGAGTCAATCGCAGGTCACCCGAGAGAACTAATATGTGGCAGACCGCGATCCATAAATGCGCACGAGCTACCTTATCTATTATCTATACGAGTAAAAGAAGAAGAGATCAAATAAAAGTGAGAGGCCAAATTTCAAACAATGTGCATCGGTTTAATAAATTTGGGATGGGTTCCTGGGCACTGTCCGAATTTCAAAAAAACTCCGACTAAAAATAATAGATAAATTAAAAGATCGGAGTTCCAACAGAGTCCCAATGCTCTTTTGGACACCATTTTGCCGGAATAATCATCTCGCCCACAACTCATTGCACCCAATCGACCGGCTTTTTAATGATCGATAACGACGATATCGTCAAGCGGGGAAATTTAAGGTTATTCTTAGCTACGCGGTCGCTAAACCAGATATGGTTTAGCGGCACGGGTAGTTACCAAGGTTGGGGCATCCATGGATTCTCCCAAAGATCAGGCATAGCACTGAACATTTGTAAACAATCAGTGTTGGAATCTGGAGAAAACAGCTTTCTTCAGAGCAGGACACTCGAGTGTCGAAATCTAGGTATAATTATAGTGTCTCGTTCAGTGCCATCATTTCCCTCTTCCACGCAATGCTCCCACTGCAGACTTCACCTATTTATCCTCCAACCATGCGGATGAGATAGGATATCGTACACCTACCACTCTAGAGGGAAAAGATCCAGGTCTACGAAATAAAAAGCCATCCCAAGATGCTTCTAAATCTACAAGCGGATCTGACAAAAGACCAACAACAGGGATATCTCAACTTTTCCACCACCACTAGTGCTTCCTGCTGACGATATCTCTCTTGATCCAAGCTACCCTTCTCAAAGCTTTCACTCCTGGATACACGAAGAGGAAAAGGATTAAATTACGTCAGGGAGAGCCGTTGTCTATGTTTCTTCCCCTCCTCCTGAGGTTGACAACGATGTTTCATTTATCCATCAAGTGGGATTTGACACGAACCCATTGCAATCGACCTCCTACACATCCAAGGGCCTACAAGTTCTGGATTACACATACAGATATTCTACCATGGCTTGCCGGTCAAACTATTTCCCACATCACTTTCTTTACAAGCTGGGAAAGTGAAGGCTCAGGGAGTTCAAAGAGCAGAGCAAAGCCTGACGAGCCTCGTTATATTGGCTTTAATATCAAAACGGAATGTGTGCGAATTCGAACTCTCAGTTCACCGGATAAAGTCTTTCCACGGCAACTAAACCTTGATGGCCTTCTCGATGTAGCTATAAGAGTGTTCTTGAAGATGTATATGCACTAATTCTGCTTGTAAAACAAGTTCTTTACAAAAGTTGCGAATGATATATTTGTTTGTGGTCGAGTATACGGTGGGAGTCGCGTTGCGGTGGTTTCAACCGCGAGATATAACCCGACGCTCGATGGTAAGCAGAATATCGACCGTGAGCACAACTGGCCAGCATCACACTGTCAAGAATATGTTAATTCATATGTTGATGGTTCAAGACCCATAAAGAGAACGAAAAATTTCAAATTCTGCACAGGGGAGTGGGCCTGATGAAGATACATCATCTCCCTCACGTGCCGCATTACTGACACATGTCTCTCTTGAACTGTTCCCAACTGCAGCGCAATTATCAGGTCTCTGGCTTGGTTGAGTTTGTCGAACTGCCAGCCATGAGCTGGGCCTCTGTTTCGGCATTGATCATTGCATGTACTAAGCTTGTTCAATACAGGGTATCTCGTCGCTTGCGGAAGACACGAGACAGCAGCCTTACCTTTTGCCCTATAGATCTCTCAAAAATTTTGCAGGCAACCGGCACAACTGCCAAAGAACGCTATTTGTCTCTCTTATCATTTTTGCAAAAGACGCGAGGAGATACATTTATATGCAGCATTTGTTGCGTGACTTAGCGCCAGGTTGGAGAATATGTTAAGTTAGGCATGTATCATTATATCATAACGATATGTGTGTTGCGTTGCCGGTTCCAGACCCATTGATGATTTCTCTTGGTTTCCCTGGGTTCCTGTGATGGGTTACACTTTTTCTATGAATATATGTGCATCTCCAACATCTTTCATCCTTTCACAACGGTTTACATGTTCACATTCTTTCAAAGATATGTTCTCAACTTCATACAAGAATTTGTGAATTCATTCATCAATTTGTTTTATGTGCCCAAAACTTCTTTCAAGCTTCTCCTAGATTCCCTAGTTTGTGAAGCAGTATTCAACCCTCATTTTCATTTAAGTAAGGCGACTGCAGTGAGGTCCACATAATAAGAATCATAATAAAAGTTGACACTCTCCAATCCTCTTGAACAATCCTCAAGTGGCATCTTTACTTTTCCGTGCATTTTTTTCTCTTCATAAAATCGCCACAAGTCAAACAGAAGAGGGAGACGAGAGGAAAAGAGAGAACATGAAAAAGAATTCCTGGTATGCAATGACAGAGAGATAACTTCACCATTTGTCTTTGATATCTCAACCCCTAGACATGAGACAAAAATGGCCGTCATAAAATTATGTTTTCAAAGAGAAATTCAACAATGCAACATATATATATTGAATACGGCATATAACATGTACGCTTCCAAGGTATGAAAGAAAAAAGCAAAGAGAAATTGAGGGGTAATATAGATAAGGCTGATCAAGATGGTGAATGGTATAAAAATATACCGCAAGACTGATGGGGTGTATGTTAGGGAGAAATGAGAGCTAAATAGGGGTCTAGGTCTTCAGGGCTTTATAATGGAAGAAAAGTAGAGGAATATAATTCACTTGAAAAACGTATCAGTTGAATCATAAGGTATAGTGTAGGTATCATCATGTCAGGAATCTGTTTGAAAAGTTGGTATAGAGTAGAAATCAGATGTAGGAGCTGGCAGGAGAAATGGCTGCAGAGATAAGTGTGAACTATAAATGGCAACAAGTACAACGATGAAAAATAGCGTGTTATCGTTGATACCTGGGTAGTGACTCAGAAGTTGCCAACGGTTGGGTCAAATCATCCTCCGTCAGCATGGGCGCCGACGGCATGAGACGAGCAACTTCCTCACCACCTGGGGAGGAGGTCACGATGGTTTCATCTGTTGGATCTGGCGAACTTGCTTGTGCAAGGAGCCGCTGTCTCTCGAGCTCCTGTTTATCGTCCTGCGCCGTCACGGGTGTCCTCGTACTGTTGCTGCCTTCTAGTAGTGATTGTGGCAAAGGCGGAATATTGGTGCTAGTTTGATAAAATGGGGTGATGGAGTCGACTGAAGAAGCGGAGGCTACGAAGTTGCCATGGATATAATGCGAATTAAAATGGTTGTTCGAAATGTGCTCATGAGGACTCTCTTCGAAGAAAATGGGGGCAGAGGGCGCGAGTGCTGAGGCCGTCGTGGAAGAGTCAACTTCTGCTGTATCCTCTTGTTGTGACGGCTTGCTGGGGAGAAGTGCCTCCTCAGCTCTCCGTAGTCGGGTCTTTTCGTCAATTTCCTCCTCTGGGAGAGTTGGAGGAATAAATTGGGGAGTATGATATGACGCAAACTGCCCGCGCGGAGGATGTGCTTGCCATCCGCTTACTTCATTATTGTCATAACCGTTTTCATTGGCATAATCGTGGTCGTTGTGTCGGTGTGTGTAAGGGCATTGGTACTGGTGGTCCCACTTGTAGACATTGTTATGTTGGACAATTTGGGGCGTCGTGGAATGGTCGTCAGCAGCTTGGTTCATTTCCGTCGTTTGATTTTGATTTTTTCCGGAATCCTTGGTCCCTATCACAACTTCAAAAACGCAAGCAACCACACTCTTCTCTCGTCGTACTTGGTCAGTGTCAAGTATATTGCCTGCCCAAGGAGACGTAATTTGGTTACGTCCCTTTTCTGACAGAGTAAGGACTTGGCCACTAGAACTGTAGCTATAGTTGCTAGAGCCCGTCATCATGTTTAAGCGGGGAATGAATCGATCCTGACCAGCTAATTTCCCTCGCAAGTCCATCACCACTTCAAGGTAATATCGGAAACTAATCATACCACCAGGGACGTGCGTTATAGTTGGAAAAACGTCTTCTGGAATCCTAATGGACGTCTTTACAGAAGCCATCATGGTAACTGGGTCCACAATCAACGGGGCAAATATTTGTGACAGGTCTTTCCGGAAGACGCTGCAGGATCTGGTGGCGCCAAATGATAGCCCGCCTAACCCAGTGAGGGATTTTGGGTAATAGTCTTCATACACTGGCTTCTTTCCCTTTTCAGCAGGCCCTACAGGGATGGAAGGGTGGTAATCAATCCTGCCCTGTCGATACAGGGTTATGATAATCCCATTTGGACTCCGTATAGGTTTCGTGTGCTGTATTGTGATCTTAACGGGTAGAATATCACCAGGAACTCCCCCAGGTCGCAAAAGCTCTGTTGTAGCTTTGATGGTCTTGTCTAATGACGAAGTATTCGTGCTCTGAGAGTCGTCATTTGCGACGCTTTGACTGTTGGTGGAGTTTGGTTCACTGATGACCTGAAAGCTCTGTGTGCTGTTGGTCATGCAGCTAGAATTGCTTTGCTCGCTGGAGACGGGACTTAGCGGTGGCCTATGTTCAATACCGTTCGGAATGGGGTCAGCAGATGCTGAGTTTTGCGTAATCCGTCCCCGAGAGGTGCCTTTTGTCTTTGACCGCGCCTTGGATCTTCTTAATACTGGTTCAAGCGAGATAATGCGTAGTTTTGGAAGAGGTAGCGGAGCAATATCGATGGTTTCAAGAAGAGTGACCCTTTTATCACAGGATAATGTGGGAGATATGGTTGTGGGGCGTGTGAGGTTAGACGTTAACATATAAGAGATGGTTCCACGTTCAAACTAAAAATGTTGATCAGTATGCAAATGTGCAGGGCTCACCACACCGCAACAGAATGCCCAGTGTCCCAAGGATAGCTTCTGTTTCACATACCGTAATACTACTGGGTAATCGATAAGGTGGAAATTCCAGATTAAACTTGAACTTGTATATTCCTTCAACCAGGCGGCCATCTCCGCAAAGCACAATTTCATCTTCGAAAAGAGTGGCAAACCCGTTCCCCAAGTATTCACTATTCCTCCTGCCACGTCCCGGACCAAGAAACCCAGATTCCTCGGAACCTTCACCTGGCGCAACTGTATTCTTAAAAACCTTCACATAGCCATGCAGACAGAGAACCAAATGAGTTATGCGGATGGGTTTCACAACCTTCAGAATCACGCAGCCCTTCACTGCCTCACCTGAAAAGTATGTCCTGTACGGTTCATCTAGCTGAATATAAAACTCCGCAATATTCCGTGATCGGTTACCCAGGCGGTTTGTAAACTTGGAGATTATGGATCGGCTCTTGGTAGACGAAGGGAGGGAGGATCGGGGAAGAGGATCAAAAGACATGGCAGGTCAGATATGTATCGATCGTGTCCGCAAACACAACGGCTCGCATGAGTGTTTTTTGAACAAACTTTTGCGGCAGTGAGGGAATGGAAGCAAAGGGAGGCTCGAAGAGGTGAGAGGTTGGCACGCGAGTCCTTTATGAATGCGCCACTCTCTGGATTGCGTGGTCCCCCGGATCGAGACTGAGTGGGATGCGTCGATTTCTACGAAATTGGAGGTAGGTCAGGAGGAGGGGAAGAGAGGCGTGCGGATAACTAGAGGTGGGCAACGCCGTGCCGCTCGACCGTTTTAAAGAGGCGAAATGAGAGAGAGACAAAGTTATGGGGGTAGGCTGTGAGCCGTGTGCTGAAGCGAGCGGCTAGATTGTCAGACGTGGGAGGAGTGAACAAAGAGCGATAAAGTCGTTGTTCTACACATCTGCGGAGGCTCCGATAGACGGATTAGCGAGAGTGAACAGATAGCATTTCATGAATCTGGATGTCCCAACTCTCAAAAAATGACGGTGTGCGAGTAGTTGGAGTTGGAGTTGTTGCTGTTGCTGTAGCCGTAGTGGAAGTGATAGTAGTAGTGGTGGAAGTTGGCACACGAGGTTCTGTCCGGACATGTATCTGGTGTGTCGCCCAAAATTACAAGGGGGTTAGTCTGACCTGCTGTGGGCTGCGGGAGGGGGAACAGCCACCACTCCTTCAGGAGAAACGGATACTTAACAGCTGCAGACTGCGGTCACTGACTGCTATTGCTGTTACTTCTGCGACTTGAAACCCAGCCAAGTATTATTATTATTATTAAGAAATCTTTTGGTGTGCTCTTCTGTCCTTTTCGTTCTCCTGCATGAACAAGCACAGCGGATGATCCTCGGTATCTACCTACACGTACTGGACAGTATAATTTGATATGCGCGTGAGCGACCGAGAATGAGCGACAGTGGCCGGAGAACTATTTCCGGGGGCATGGCTATGGTCGCAATCACAATGCCTGGGCGACTAGGTCTTGCAGTCAAGCTTTTGCCAATAAAAGCTTGGAAATCATCAGATCGACATCTTGGTCTTGAGCCCGCCCTCTTGTCTGTAAAGCGATTACCGTATAGGAGACCAAATGTCAGAATAATAAATAATGGCGCCGCTGATTTGTAGGGTTTCAAGATGGAGAGAGATATTTAAACCAATAACACGAGCAAAACATAATTATCCACCCCATGTCTCCATGTTGGAAATGACCAACATAGCCTTGGAACTAAAAAGAGGGTGAGAAAACGAGGCACATTTCAAAAATTCCATTCGCTAATGTGCGTCGAGTCTCTTTCGCCCTGACTGTTTTGTGGTGTCTTTCTAACTGCGGACAGGTACCTAACAACTTTGGGTTTAGGCAATCCCCAAATGCCATGTCCAATGCCAATTCCACAAAGCCTCGGCCCCGAGATTAAACCCAGTGGACCTCATGACTAGCCGTAGGCGAGATAACCATGTTGTTAGTGGGACGGGGGAGAAGGAGAGAAATCGCAAGCAAGAAAATGAAGAGAAACGATGGATGTCAGGAATCAGCAATGGACATTTAATAGTGCTTCGGCCTCATCTTTCTCAATATCAATAATAATTGTCCTGGTTAGCAAAGAACCTTTCGTCAAATGCATGCATTATGCGTCGAAACCTCGAAACCTACCTAAGGAATCAGCCCGAGAAAAGACAATTAGTTTCTTGGCAAGAATAACAAGCATTTTCGCTGGACCCGGTCCAGCCGCTTGTTTTGAGAATATTCTCTCATGAATCATCTCATGGTTGTTTTCCGCGCTTCTTCAGTGCTTCCATCCAACACTGCATTTTCTTCTTTTGCCTGGGATACGGAGTTGTTACGCGCGTATTGGAGCCCACCTCCTATTATTTCCTTTTGATTGTTGGGTTGGATTTCTTTTTGGTGGGAACCTAACAATCGCCTCTGTTGGAGGAAACAATTTCACTGGGACTGGTCCTGCGGTTGCCAATAATAAAAATTTGTATCAAATTCTCAAGTCCTTGATTTTTATCTTCCTATTCCACAATGCATGCTCACTGGCGTATCTCTCTTCAAGTTCAAGTCCATACTCTGAGTAAACCCGTCGCTGCAGGATAATGCATCCGATTCTTAATCAAACAAGCATGCAGGTGCCAAACAGTAAGTTTCTGCTCGTTTTGGATTCGTACCATAGATCGCTTGATAGCCCGCTGCCCATGTCTGACAAACGATAAAGGAACTAACTCCGCCGTTAATATTCCTCAGGATACGTTTTCGAAAAATGATTAACCGAATCCACCAGACTAACCCCCTTCAGAATCCTTAAACAAGACAATAAGCCGTTAGACGTTTTGCGAAGATACGACATTCCAAGTCATAGGCACTTCTGTAGGGACTCCTAAACGGCAATAAAAACTGCAGTGGTACTTAATAATAGAATCTGTGATCAAGAGCGTTGTTAGAAATAGAAAGGTTTCAAGGATCGAGTTATTGGTTCCAGGGTTATCTCGATGCTTACGTGAGCAACCGTTAACTCACTCACTCACTCACTAGTTAAGACTCTGTTGGATCCATCGTCCAAGGATAAATCAAAACGTGGAATGCCTTACAGCATTCCTACACCATAAGCACCATACACCTTGGTACCTGATAGGACAGCATACGTTCAAGGAATAAATCGACACTGGACATCTAACCTTAAAGCCAGCGTCAAAATGTCTCATCAATCGCCAGCTGCAACAGTTGCAGCTGCAATCCAGGATGGCAAAACACATCTGCTCTTAGCCGCAAGCGGCTCGGTTGCTACCATAAAACTGCCTCAAATTATCTCAGCGCTGGAGAGATATCCTAATCTCTCGATCCGTGTCATCTTTACAAAATCGGCTACCCACTTTCTTCGTGGCCAGTCCGCAGAACAGCCAACAGTGGCGTCTTTAGCCTTGCTTCCAAATGTTGATTCCATCCACGAAGACGAGGACGAATGGGTCGAGCCGTGGACCCGGAACGCAAATATACTTCACATAGAGCTCCGCCGTTGGGCGCATCTATTGGCAGTCGTCCCCATGTCTGCCAATCTGTTAGCGAAGGTGACCGGTGGCCTCTGTGACGATCTCCTGACGAACGTGATTCGTGCCTGGGAAATTCACCCTGCAGACCCCAAAAGAAGACCGATCATCGTTGCGCCGTCGATGAATACCATGATGTGGACTCACCCGTTAACGGCAAAGCAATTAGCTGTACTCAACAATGAGTGGGAGTGGTTTGAGGTGCTTCAGCCACAAAGTAAAACCTTGGCGTGTGGTGATACTGGCCAGGGTGCCATGTGCGAGTGGAATGAGATCGTCAGTGTGATTGAAAAACGACTTGCTGCTACGAATACTAGTTTAGCGACCACGCCTCAGACGGAAGCATCATAAATAACTTCTAACACGAGCTCATTTTGATTCTTTGGTCCCGGTCTGCACAATACACATCAGCTGAAAATGCCCTTCGATGGGGTAGAACTATTTTTGGCTCCTTCAATTGCACTTACCGAAGGGACATGGAGCCGGTTATGGCATTTTCAGCATGTTTTCGTCCTTAATTTCTCCATATCCCTTATATCAACGGGAAAGCTCAATCCAACGAACCATCTTCTTCGCGACTCTTCCGACATTCTCCTTCCATCAACAGACCTCAAGCAATGAAATTACGGACCCTACCCCCCTTAATGCACCCCATCGTGGGCTGGGAAAAGCTCCCATTACATAACTGGAGAAAGATGCACCTAAATAACCCTGGGCAAGTAACATTCCTTGCTGGAAGGAATTATCGACAGGAAGACCTTTGTTTGAAACGCTGGTGACACGCCCATCCCTCGAAGCTCCAACAAAGATTATTATTATTATTATTATTATTATTATTATTATTATTATCTTAGCTTTGCTATAGCTCAAGCGAATCACTTGTCGTATAGCACAATGCTATCACATGCTCTACGATATTTCAGTTGCGATTACCTATTAACTTGGGAAACGGCCGCGTCGAACATCCTCCTTGATTGCCTCAATCTGGTACGGGGCCATACTCCTGTACATTTTTTCCGACTTCCCGCATAAGACACAAACTCGGTCTTGGTGGCGACTTCTCTATTTTGTCTTCGCATTAGGTTCTATCTCTTTGTCAACTACATATTAGTCACATATTCCAAAAGAAAAGATACTCATTTATGAATGAATTGTCAGACCCTGCCATACGGCCTCTACCATTTCCACACCTATCATTCCTTGAACATCCCTGGAATGGACAGCATATTTGGCACTTAAAGGCGAATTGCATATTCTTCTTTCCGCCAGTTGAAACAGATATCAGATGTTCGTTGTTTGTACGGAGAACTGTACGAACGAAGAACCGATCGAATGGTTAGCCCGCTGTGGAGGGGTTGTCATAACCCATGTCTGCGCGAAGCGCGATAACTTCCAGGGTTCGTATTATTATTGGACTGAACATTCAGGAGGTGTGGAACAAAAGACCTTGCAAATACTAGAAATTTAAATGGTGAAAGCATGCAAAATACCTCTCAAATAGATTCATGAGTCATTTAAGGGGTTTTCTCCCTGTGATACACTCTGCATTAGTTGATCCGCCACTAATGAACCCCCGATACTAATGGGATCTCTCACCCCATAACGATGAGACACGGGGTGGAGTTATTTGGCTCTGGTATTCATATTTCAAGATAAATTTCTAGTGTGTGCAAAGGATTATGTTCCACACCTCCGTACAGTACAAACCGGAGCGTCGAGGTTGGATGTACATCCAATCATTCTCCCAGGGTTTCCCAAATTCACGATAACGTGTCAACCTGGTCGAAGCTGGTCTGGTCCTGCCCCTTCATTTAGCCAGCCACTGACATACCTTGCAATTTCGAAGTTGGAACTTTGACTGCCCCTTCTATGCAAACGTGGGGAATCTGGGAACACTAAGACCGCCATGAACACTTATTCCACTTAAGCTTTTTGGAATTCTTTCTGGGCCTTGGCCCCTTGGCTGGGATGAGAGATGTGGACCAATAGAGATTGATGTGTGGTTACATCATTGGAAGTGACGGTGCAATTATTTACTTTTTGTTGTACTTGGTCAGCCGCTGTAAATCCTCGTGTCCCTCTTTGTGGTGGACTAGAAGGCAAGGAAAGGAGAGAAAGGTTGAGGACTGAGGCGTATAGGTCTGGAATTTCACTTTGTTCTATGATTGAGTCTTCTTTGGTCACCTTCATGGCGAAAAATCCCTTTGTGTCTGAGATCAGCTCATTTTGACTTTGGGGATGCCGTTGAGGTCCGAAAGTTGTACGGACCTGTGTGTTCTGTACATACGTATGTCCATTGTTGCATGGCAATCGCATGGCGTCACGACTTGCTTATGAGATGATTCAAATATGCCCAGAATCCTTTCACGAGTCATTATAGAACACCAGCCTTGGTTTGATGCGAGAACTTTTCTCCGCGGGAAAATTATGTCCGTTAACTATCCGTTAGTTCCCTTGGTGGGTTACCTTCAACTCCCTTTTTACCAGGTTTGTATCGCCCTCGCAGGGTCTGTTCTTCTTCCTCAGTGACCTATCGACCTCGTACATCTCAACAAGGATTGGTGAGAAACTCACTTGTAATATTAGGTACGCTATGACTCAACCATCACACGGTAACTATTGGTAGAGTCAAAAAGTCCCTGGACATTTTTGCATAGCCTAGATATCTCTCACTATAATCGATATGTCAAACATTCTACATGTCACTTAACAGTAGGAAATAATGGTCAGTGGGGACTGATCTACATCATCCCTCCAACCCAAACTACTTCTTACGCCATTGGAAGATATGTAACGTGGCTCTTGCCATCCGTGCCAATGATAACTCACATAGTAGATTTTATTATTATTATTATTATTATTTTATTTTAGTTTTAATTTTTGCGAGTTTGGCCAACTATGCGTGTTCTGGAGCCCAACAGTGCCGTGGCTGCAAGGACTAGAGAACACATTCTGCTGCTCCTGAGATCGAGTTATTATGACTTTTCAGCTGTTCATGGAGTTTAATGTTCGCCCGTGACTCGATGGTCGATTGTGTTGGGCTGCTCCGTCGCGGAGGTCGTTTATCTTGTTTGGTCATACAATTCTTGTCGACTGAGATAAGCTGCTGAATGGTTGCTGGCGTGTTGATTGCCCTGAGATTTTTGGATGCAAACGAAGTTTCTATTGCCTACGCTCCAACATTCGAATATGTCGAGCCGATGACGGATGGTTTGTCGAAGGTCGGTAGTTCAAGCCAGTTCTGATTCAATTGATCACACTACACAACTCCTTTATTTCAATGACCTTGAGAATCTGGTTCTCTCAATGATCATTCAAACTTTTGAAGTGCAGAATTTAAAGATGAGATATTACCTGCCAAAGCTGGCGAGCAATGATGGACCATCTTATTGCTGATGTTGAACTCTTTTTAATCTTGTGTGATGTCACTCATACTTCTTATTTGAGAGAGACGAAAGATCGCTAAGAATGCTCAGCTGATGCAAGCTGATGCAAAAACATCAACGTTCAGCCTGGCTGTTATTCTGGCTTCAGTATGGCATGCAGACAAGAATCTCCCGTTTCAACTGCCGGGACTTGTATTCCATGGAAAATGGGGGGACACATGTGGATGCTTATGCGGAGGATAGCAGTTTCAATATATATAGTTTTCAATACATTCATGCTGAAGAATAATGAACATTATAAAACGAAATCATACCCTGCTTCATGCCCTGAGTATTAAATAGATTTGACCTGGGTAAAAAGCCCTATCCATACATGCACCGATTAAAACTGCAATTCCCTCAATCCTTCCCCTTCCACGTACTCCTCACCATAACACTCCCGCTTTACAGCCTCCACGGTCTCTCTATCGCCTCCAGCAATCTTCCTGAGATACTCTTCTAGTACATAGATATTATCCGTCCACATCTCGGCCTCTCCCTTCCACCTTTTTATATCCTCCTCTTTCCTTTCAATGCCTCCACCAGCTCCCCCGTCCAGATAACTCTCCTCCTCTATCTTCAACATCATCACCTCTGCTTCCCCCTGCGCTTTCCTAGCCAACAATGCTCCCCTCTCATGCTCTTCATCCCCTCCACTATTCTCAATCTCAGTCAGAGCGGCGGCCTTCCGCTCTTCCAGCTCCAATACGACCTTCTCCAACTTCTCGAGCTCTTTCACGAGACTATTCTTTACCTTCTCCCTCTCCTTTTGCTCCTCACCCGCCCAGGCCCAATACCAATTGCCACTTCCGATTTTCTCCACGTGCAGCTTTCCATCGTCTGTCAGGGCTTGGATATAGTCTTTCACCTGCATGCCATTTATGGATGCGACCGCAGGGAGACATTTCTCAAGGTCTTTGAGTGTGTGGCATGTGCGTGATGCGTGGAGATGGTTGAGTATCAGTTGTTGTTTTGCTGCGGGAGTGAGTGATTTCGAGGGAGCCTTTTTGTATTTTGACAATTGTTGGTTTAATTTTTATGCAGAAATAGAAAAGAGGGTTAGGAGTAAACTGAGTTACCATCTTATTCTTGTTTGTTAGGTGGTAAGGGATTAGGATGTTCACTTACCATTGTGTCTCCAGTGATGATGCAGCGCACTCTTCATAGATACTGTACATGCAAGACAGCCATAGAGCAAGGGCATAGGAAAGAAACTGTGGTGTCCTCGCTAATGTAGATATTTGGCCGTTTGGAGCTGGCATATTCGTATGATATCGAACGATATCACACAATTCCCGGCTGCTCAGCTAGGAACAGGCAAGGCGGAAGGAAGAAGGTTCTTCCTGGACGGAATTGAGCCTCCTCCGTTTCGTTGGGCATAATGATGATTTTGCTCAGAGAACCAGCAAGGAATGATTGAAAGATCACAATTTCTACAATTATCTCAATCAACTGTAGCTTCAAATGTCCAGGCTGCGGCATATTTGATATAGCAATACATCTATCTGATTGTGTATTAAGCAGCCAATGTGAAATTTGAGTCTTACATCCATTGGTTGGACCCTCGGGCAGGAACCACACGCATATCTGCTTGGATGCTGCCTATGCTATCATTTAACGCAGGATAGACTTTGCACAATTAAAAAAAAAAAAAAAAAAAAAAAAAAAAAAAAAATGAAAAGATGAAACGAAAAGCAACCAGGGAAGATTTTCCTTCCATAGAAAGATTTAAATAGAAGCCGTTAAAGCTCCATCTTCACCACAGGCCATTTTTATAATGAACCAAAAGTTGGACATGCGACAAAGCAGAGATATGAATGATAGCATATGCCAAATAGAAAACAATGGAAGAGCTCTTCCAAGGAGTGTAATGGACATATTGTAGCAAGGGAAAGCGGATAAATCAAACTCCATATAAGTCATCAGAAACCGCGTCAAGCACATGAGATAAGAGACAATCTCAGCTTCTCAGGACTCATCACGACATTTCCTAGCTGCTTATCAGAACAAAACAGTGCTTTTACCTCATCTCTTTCTGCGCCCGTCTTCCAATAGTGTTAAGGTTTCTCAAAGTGTTTTCCTTATATGTTAGAGAATAGAAAGCCATATGAACAAACATCAAAAAGCAAACAGTATCGTCATTGCTATCGCATTATTATCCTTGTATCGAGTGTATTTGCTTAATGGCGAAAAAACAGCATCGTAAGCGCTCGAGTTCAAATTCCAAAGATATTCGTATATATAATTCCCCTTGATCAAAGGTTTCAAAAGAATGATCCTTTCACACGGGGAAGGAAAAATTTCATAGAAATATGGAAACAAGCTCCCCAACTTACAGAATAAGTTTTAAAGGGATTAAGGAATTTCCGCCCTGCTTCTGCACTGCAGTAACAGCGTCTCTGGCATCTCCATAGGTCTTGCAAGGGTGGTTTGACCCTATCGCTTCCGGAGATTGAAGTTCCAGTTCTGATCCAACACATATAATCGTCGCCAAAAAGAACCAGAGAATAAGTATGTTCGGCTTCCTTGCTTCCCTTCTCGTATTTACTTAGTCCCTCCCTTTCTCTAAAAAAAGGAAGCCTTCTGGAGAAGAAAGGTCAGGAAAAAGTCCAAAAGGCAGTCGGGGCATAGGAAATGTCCCTTTAGTTGAATCTCTAAGGAATATTGTCGCCATGCATAAGAGGTAAAACAAATGGGAAAGATCCCTACTTTGAATGAAGAAGGGGTGAGTTATAGGTAAAATAGTCGTGAAACAATGGATGTTATTGAAGGTGCAATAGAAAGGGAATAGAGAAAGTCGACAACCAATTGTCGTCTAGAATGCTATGCAAGGCCTCACCCTATTCTACAGAACCCAAAAGGGAGAGGGAACATGAAAGCCGAACCTGCTTCATTTGCCGATTCCCAGTGCAATCCTTGGACAAGACAAAGAAAATTCCATAAATAAGCGACAAAAAGGGTAAGATTTGAGGGAAACATTTCAATAAACAACCCCATTGCAACCCATATTAGGTTTCTAGGTGTCATTAAATTTTCTTTGTTTTGAAGGGACTGGCATCAAACACTTATTCAGACTGGACAGAATGGTGTGAATACTATCTTCGTTGCCTTTTGGTCCTATTTTTCCGAAGCCTCGCCGTCTCATCTCCGCTAGGCGCGCTGCCACTCCCCGCAGTGACCCGCTTGCGGCCCTGGCTTAGGGAGCCAGAACGAGGAAAAGTTTCTTCAGGGTCAGTTATCTCTTCCCCTTCAACAAAAATCATATCTCCAGTCTCGCCTAGTGATTCATTTGCGGCTTCTTCAAGAAGTATTCCCAGCGCGATCAGAGCCGTTTCATCAAAACTCAAAAAATCCGTATGTCCTTGATCAAGAGTCGCACTGGCGTAAAAATCGGAAGCGTAAGTGTGAATAGCTTTCAAAATGTCAGAGTCTGGTAATCGCTTATCAGCTGGTAGACGCTCGTCAGCGAAGTAGAAGTCATTCTCCACATATCTCACGGGGGCATTTAGACGACGGAAAAGTGCTTCCTCTGGGGCAACAGGGACTGAAGAGGGCGCATGGGCCTGGCGTGAAAGGAGCGGAGGGCGGAAACCAGAAGAAGAGACCCGACCTAGATTCAGTCAGAACTAGAGTATCAATAGTAATTCCGAGTATGCGACATACCAGCAACGGCATCGTAAACGCTAGCTTGCCGTCTTTGGCTCACCCGAGGCGGCAAGTCATTGGACGATTCCGCCTGGGACAGATAGCCCCCCGTCATTACGACTTATATCAAGGAAGTCTCCAGAGGCACATCTCCTAAGTTACATCATAAACCCATGCTTCAGCTGTTCTCCGTAGGTTGCTTTAACTTTGTATTCGTTGAAGTCCTCAAGGTACTTCTGGCTGGTCGAGATTGATTTGCGGGCCGACGTTCTTCCCAGCGTTTAAATAAGCTTAACTGCGAGCTAGTTAGTTATATAAGTCAACTGTGGAGATTATTTTCTCTACAATGACGTCCATTTCATTTCAACGACATCAATGAAGGCGAAAAGGGGCATATTTTTCCTTCTCAACATTAATACTCTAATGAATGAATTCTTATTTGCTGAATAGATCCCAAGGATCTATCAGCCCTTCCACTTTTCATGTGGCCCAAAACTCCCACCTCGTCCGTTCCATAGAACCAGCACCAGGCATCAGGTTTTCCAGCGGCTTTACAGCTGCAGCAAGTGGTGGGATATATGATGAAAATGACGGGGTTTGGGCTCATAAGTCTGGTGTTAATGTGGTGACAATCGATCATTATGAAAAGCGGTTGTATGTGTAAGCTTCGGACTGTTACGAGTCTTTGGACTCTGCTAATTATCAGTGATACAGTATGGTTTCTGGTGGCGTCGATGCCTCCATCCATCTGTGGGATTTGGAGACTCGTGGATCTGAATCAAACTATCTTCATAAGTCCATTGCTTCGGTGACTAAGTAAATAATTATAGAGTCCGTACATGCTTCACAGAGAGGACTAATACCTCCTCCCAGGTCAACAAATCCATCAGCACATACACATGCGTTAACTTCTATTTCGATATATCCCTTCGATCCGACTCCGTCGACTATATTAACTACTTCTCATGACACTACATTAAAGCTATCTTCACTTCAACCCCCCAGCATCCTTCCGGTCCATACATTTTCGCTTCACTCTACACCATACTCACACTCGTTTTCGTCACATCCATCATCGCTTCTTTTAATTGCAGTAGGAACCTCAGATAAAGCTGTAAGATTACTAGATCTTCGCTCTGGACTTGCCACCCACGCGCTGCCAGGACATACTTCGGCCGTTCTATCGGTTTCTTGGGCCCCACATCACGAATTTTTGCTCTCATCAGCTTCAAAAGACAATCGTGTCATCCTCTTTGATGTCCGGCGGGGGGGCCGTAATTGTGCCTTATCTTCGCTTGATATGGAAGATGCAGTGGGCGTGATAGCCCCGCACGATGCCCCTCCTTCGCTAACCATCCGTAAACCGTTTATGCCTGACGCCCGTGCGCACAATGGGACGGTAACAGGTGTTCGATGGACTTCAAGTGGCAGCCATATCGTCACTTCAGGACATGACAACCGAATTCGAGTCTGGGATGCTTCCACAGGCGCGAACTCCCTAGTGCATTTTGGCCCGCGTGTTCGCAATAGTTCCTCCCTACGTCTTGCCGAACGAGCGCCTCTTGTTTTACCTGAAGGTGTCATGGATGCAGCGCACGAAGCGCTTTTCTGGCCAAATTTTAGTGACCAGGACGACAAAGGGGAGATCTTAATGTTCGAACTTCATAGTGGCGCCTTTCTCAAACGCCTCAAACTTCCCGGAGTACCAACATCACGACAACAACTCCGAGGAAAAGCCACCGCACTTACTGCTGCACGAATAAACGATCTGGTATGGCGCGGGAACGGATCATCCGGCGAGGGAATGGAGTTGTTTTCTGCTCATGGAGACGGGACGATTAGGGCTTGGGCTTCAAGGACCTCGGATGGGGAATCGGATATTACCGAAGGCGATGATGAAACAGAGGACAGGAAGCGGAAAAGGGATGTACTTGATGAAATTTACCGTGGCTTGATGAACCAAAATGTCACTTTCACTTGATTCACTCTGAAATTGGTCATTTCTGAATTATTACGTGAATGGCATAACACCTACATGGTTTTATCGGGACGTTGGAAATAGGCGGGAGGAAAAGAAAAGGAGATATATTTTCTTATCGGCATCTTTGTTCCAATGGATGATGCCGACCTCACAAACCGCGTACATAATTATTCCAATCCATGGATCTCTAAGACTCAAAAAACAATACTACGTCAATAGAGGTTTAGTATGTGCGTATAAACCTATTAATGCACCTCCGGAGCACATCCTATCCACTTTTACCAATAAAGGAATACCCGAACAGCGGCAATAATCTGCGGTACCGCTACCAGAAAAGACGATTTCTGGAATTGCTTTACCCGAACACCAAAACGATTATGTCAAGAATGAAAAATCAGCCTCTCAGCTTCCGAAAGCTATGGTTCCAAAAAAAAAAAAAAATATCCAACAAATAAGATTTCTCGTGCTACATACGACAATGTATTTGGAAGTGACCCTCACATGAGAAAGTGCTCTTTCATCCTGCATTATGTCTAACAGGAATGTTCTCGATGAGCTTGAAAATCAAACCTTGACAGCAGCATTTGTGCATTGATTCATCTTGAATATCCTCATTCGTACGCATGCATACTCTTGGTGCCTTACCCCTCGAATCTACCATTCCTTCAAGAAAACGTATAACCCATCGCTACTGGAAACCGGCATAACTAGCTTGCATGATTACTCAAAAATGGAGTTTGAGGATCTATTTGCTGTGGTCATGAATTTCTAGTCAATTACTTCGGCTAACACAGGAATGATTAGTAGTTTGAATGGGAGTCTGCAGAGATTTATTCGGGCGGATGTCGAGGAACGGTGCAGGCAACAGTACAACGCTGTAGCCCCGGGGAAACACAAAATAAAAATATAGGTCCTTTTCTTTTAACATGTTTCAAAAGACGAGGTTGGATATAGAAAGGAACCACCAATTAGAAATGCTACAAATTATCAATTTTGATTTGCGGGAGGTTACTCTCCAAAATGTAATCAACGGGATAGATTAAAGGCTGGAATGGAGTGAAAATATCGGACTATATGGGCATCATATACTATACAGGAGGTGTGGGATTGAGCGTACAATTCATGCGAGTCTCTCAGACATCATTGACGGGATCATCTTAATGAAGTGATACATTTAATGTAGTTTTATGTGAGCAACAGGCGTATGCATGGTCTTTGGTCCAATCGTTACATCAAAAAGGGTGATACAATAGATGGAAGAATAATGCGTGGGTTATTTTGAAACGATTAGTTAGGTCTTTCAATCCATTCCTCCCAAAAAAAACAATTAGAATTTCCTAAGAAAAATGGAAAGATATATATCCTCATCATTCATAATTGTCATCATCACTATCAGTGTGATACGCCGTGCTGGATATCTAGGTAGAAAAATGGGTGTGAAGAGCATCATCTTCTAAACCCATCCCTGAATGGTCTCTTCTGCACTGCCCTTTTGTCGGCCACGAACAACACTAAAAAACATGCACCCTGGGAGAAAAAGGGATAGAGAGAAAATACGGTGAAAAATGGAATCAATACAGAAACAGAGGACAAAAGGGAAATTTAAGAGAATAACGCCATCCCTTTATTCTTGCGCCAATGCCAATGTCAAATAACCTCCAAGTGGCCACAAAATAAACGATGTAACTAGTGTCTGGGTGAGGATGGGTGGATATGGTAGAATATGTGAAAGAATGCAGATTGAAGTAGAAGAAAAGGTAAACTCGACCCCAATGCCTTAGTAAATGGAGCCAAGGATTTGGGGGGACGAATTTGGGTATTGGTTACTGTCATTGGCGCCGTGAAAAATGGCAGAAAGGGACCGCCGAAAAATTTCGTTCGATAATTGCGTTCAGGGATTTAGAATTAACATATATTAAGGGTGGGATGGCCATGGTAATGGCTCCCAAGACTTTTGCAAGTTGAATTCTCAAGGTCAACTTGAGAAAAATCAATGGGTTATCTAAAACAATTAAAAGAGTGTATTTTCGAATCGAAATATAACTTTCCGTGAATCATATTAGTAAGAAATTCCATTCGTTTTGCTCCATAACATCCCGCCAGTGGATGTTTGCAAGCTTGGAATGTTGTTGCTGCCTCTGCTTCTCGTCTCCAACTGATACTCCCGCACCAGGGGTAGTGGAAGAAATAGGAGTAGGGAGGAAAGACATATCAGCCATAGCTGCATCAGATTGTCTCCAGACCTCGCGCAGTAAGCAAGCCATACGGCCAAAGCTGCCACTGTCAGCTTGGTTACCCAGCATCTCGGTGCGACGTTCAAACATGGCGCGGAATGGACTGTCCGGAGTGGAAAGGGAACCACATATTAGGAACGGCCAGGCGAGGGAGCGATCAAACCCTTCTGTCCCACCAGGGATCAGATTTACCAACTCCACAAAGTCGGAAATTAGCTTTCTGGTGCCTGCCTGACTTCGGTGGAAACCTGGCACAAGACTGCAGAGATACACACGCGCCGAAAGACGGTAGAGGGCAGTCATGTTCTGGGACAGTTGGCAGGGCTGGAGGATACCTGCGTCGTTGACCGGATAGACGAGAGATCCTGGTGGTGGTTCGGTGTGGTCGAGTTGATGGGCTAGTGCGGTGATGTGGGAGCAGAGCTGGATATCGTCGATGCGACTTTCAATTTTCAGTGCGTCGAGACAGGAAATCTCGGAGATTAGATACATAACACGATCGTCGCAGCCCATCAGATCAGACAAACCGGAAGAGGAACCACCAAGAAGTTGTGTGCGGTAAACATGTGCGCATTGTGGTGTCTTGCCCAGCATTGTGGAGCCCAGGATGTCGATCCAGGCAACCAGTGTCATGCTGAATGGTGGGGGGATATTCTGGTTGTCGGCGTCGAGCAGCATCTGGGGAAGTTCGAGTCTGCTGATTAGTTCTGTTACTGGTTGGAAATGAGAATGCCAGGGGATATCAAGCAGCACGTCATTTGGACAGCCAACGGCGCAGGGAAACAGGATCATCGCGAGGATCGCATCCAAGATTTGAAGATTGTCAGTATCGTGGGTCAGTGCCTCGTTGAGCTCCTTCACTGCCTCACCGCGATGGTTGAGAATGGCGTTATCGAACTTGTCGCCTTTGTCGCATTCAGTGGCCTTTAGATGCATCGCAGCGATACTGAGACAGCAGTGGAGGTAGGCTTTGTTTGTCTGCAAGGCTGGCACAACATGCGACTGTACGATACCTTGTTGTCTAGTCTCCAGAACGGGGTGGATAAGGCGGATGACGTTTTCAAAGAAGTGAGTTAATAGATACCGGTCACCATCATCGAGGTTGAACATGTCCGCAATGGTTGGTTCAGATGGCATGGCAAAAAATCCGAAATCGTTGGCTTCAGGTGAGCTAAATGATTCCTTGCAACTCTCGAAATATTCCTCCTTGATCCAGTCGTCACCGGGAAATGCGGGCAGGATGGCATGAGGCATGGGTGGCTGGAATGTGCTGAAGGTTGAAATCGAAGAGTCCCGTCGAGTAGGGATGTCATTGACATACATTTGCCGTTCTGTCTTAATGTCAACCTCATAAGATGGCGCTGTTCCGTAGAACACGGCTGCTTCGAAATGGGGAGTTTGAAGTTGAGAGCCGAATGGGTCGAATGGATCATGCAGCGGGTAGCTGTAGTCATGTTCCAGGGAGAACTGCGATTCAGCAGAGTTCGCACGACTCATGCCCATACCATCCGAAAAGGTATCTATTGTCGGGACAGAATGTGACAGGCTGGGGGTAGAAGTATGTGCACAGCTGTTTGCGCGGGTATTGGCATTCGTGCTGGCCTTCTCACTGAGCCTAGTGTTCTTGATTATCTCCTTGATTGCCTCCTTTTGCATACGTCGCTGGTCACCGTTCCCCCACCACATGGGTCGTTTGTATTCGCATTTCAACTTGAGATTTTTGCAGGCTTTGCAGACAGACTTCCCTTCATCGCACTTCTTTCTTCGTAAACGGCAGGTAAAGCACCCTACAATTAAGGAGGGCATGAGTATCCTACAGAATATGCATACCGTATACCATATATTTGTTTGCAGTTTAAACATAAAAGGAGAGGAAGACGTACCTAATCTAGACCTTCGATGGGTCTTCTCTGCCGATTTCGGGGAAGAACTTTGGGCAGGCTTTGCCTGGGTTTTGGAGGAGGGTTTGCGAGAGGTTTTGGTGGCCTTTCCTGCAGGATTCAACTCAGAAGAAATCATCTTTGTAGGTGGCGTGGGTGCCTTTGACAGTGGCGCGATGGCTGTGTACGACATAGTAGAACAATTGGTCCTAAATGAATATTAAAAAGACAAGACCTTGCTCGTCTCAATTCTCCACTTTGCAGTAACCGAGTAATTGAGAAAGGTATTAAATTTCAAAGAATGACGAGCTGTCGTTGAAGCTTGGTTCAGGGGGGTCCAAGCCGTACTATTTTCGACAGGCGACGAGATCGGATTGCTTTTCGAATATTTTGGGGGAAATTGTAGAACAATGAATGGCGCAAAGCCTGACCAGCAGGCTTTGATAATAGAGTATCTGTCGAATTGGGGAGAGGCGAATAGATGATAGACAGATAAATAGAGGAGGACGAGGAGAATATCCAGCAATTCGAGGTCGCGCTGCTGTGAAGCTTGTAGCTCTCAAGTTCGGAAGTGTATAGGGCATGGCGGGTTTAATAAGAGTTCCCTCTCCAAAGTCGGCTGGCCAACTTCTGTTTCTATTTTTGAACATGTTTGCGGATCAGATGCGGCTATGATCCTAAAAGGACTAGACTGGGGGAAAAGCATGCAGTCCTGGATGGGTCATGACCCATTGGGGATTTGGTGGAAAAAGGGAGGGTTGCGGGGCGAATGGCCTGGCATCCCTGAGAAGAGAAGAGTGCCAATTGGGCCGACCGTGAGCAACATTCAACCAGATCAAGCGAAGCCCTTTTCAAGCCTCCAAACTAAAAAAGTGGACCCAGAGGTTGCAGGCATGGGTCGGCGGGAGATGCGAGAATGCTGCTGGTCAATCTTGCGGAGGTTGAGATGAGGGGGGGGGGGTTGGACATGGGTGGTAATAGGCTGGATTGGGCTGACCTAGGGCAAGGATGCCAGCTAAAAATTGATCACTGCGAAATGGGCTAATTAATGGCGGATGGAGTAGCACTGAGGATGGTTCTACAGGAATTCCCTAGCCACTCAGAAGTTCCCCTTGTCAGTTTGGTGCATTCATGCTCATGGAGCAAAGTACAAGGGATCCTGCGAACCAGGAGCACACATACGCCGTACGATATCATACTATTTCTGGGCATTCGAGGTTCGTTATGTTGTAATACTTCTACAAAATCCTAGCATGTTCAACTCTATAGAGGGAAATGGCATAGTTGCAATAGCAAGACGTTGATTCTTCATGTCAGTATTTGCACTCACTCGGATAACCCTATATTTAACTAGCAATCCATTTGCTCTGTAACTATTCAAGAGAACCTCAATTGTTTTTCTGTCACGCCGCTCGGCTGGGAAATTCCGTACTATGTTGTTAATGTTGGCAAAGGCACCACGAGAAATGATGCATGTAACTGGGAACACAGTGTACCAGATAACTACAGTACCAAATCATTCTCATGCATCGTTCACTCAGGTGCCAACCAACATGTTACCGAGGGAGGTAGACCCATAACACAATGATTTCCGGTGTCATCCAGAGAGAAAACGTTTGTATGTACTGTGTGATGTAATCCGTTTTATATGCAATGTTGATATACGGATTGGCCCCATCTGGCGATGGCAATTTCGGTAGTTTGAATAGTTTCAGTTTCGGGATATCGACTCGATCCACTTCCAAGCTTCTTCTCATTCAGCCATCGGATAACCACGGAGCTTATATCGTCTGCTTTTCGGACACGGTATATCAAAAGCATCGATTCTATGCGAAATTGAACGTCTGGCCTCACTAGCCACTCAGACGCAATTTCTCCGATGTATGTCCGCTCCCAGCGGAGTCTGCAGGACGTAATACATCACGAGGTCGATCCAACTTGCGCTTGAAGATCTAAAACGGGGGGCGCATGCCATTCATGAAAGCCTTTTGTTCTGCTCCGTACCCTATCAAATAAACGAAGCGGCAAATTACCGTCCAAACCAGCGTAATGTATTTGATACGAGAAAGAGAGAAACGGGAGCAACAATCCCTAGAAATCCGAGTGTCACGGGGGGGGGGGGGAGAACGACGTGGTGCAGCGAAAAATTGTGACCTTTCGTCGTCAGGACTTGAGCAATTACATGCCAAGGCCTGTTCTTTGGCCCTCGATTCGATTGGAGAGCTCAAGACAAAGACAGTGTTGTGCAGGGATCGGGGGGAACCTTGAGCCAACCGTGCGAATATGTGCAAGCAGTGGCAGAGGTGTGGCGGATCAAAAGTCCTCGGTACCTCTGATGTTTGGGGTTGGGCCCCAACCCTGCAAGGCGAATTGAAGATGTTGCAAGTGACTGGGACTTCAGTGAATCACACTTGGCGCTCCGAACAAACAAGCTTGGACGTGATTCAATTTGATCGACTGCATAACGTGGCGTATTTTAGATCGTCAGTCGGTTGAAGTTTGGCGTTAGCAAGTGGGGGTCTTCCATTCGAGGTTGCCGGTTCTCCCCACAACGTCCCGCCCAACCCTAACTGAGGTTCCTCCGATCTATCCATGATCCATGGATGAAGCTAGTCCCTACCTCGACAGCCCAGCTTTTCGACTTCGAATGGTTGTTGGTTGCCAACATTGAACTAATACTCCCTAATTAGTAGCAATTAACCGCCCATGCTTGGTGGGTTCTCCTGGTTAATTAGCATGCCAATTTTTGGGTCTCAACTGTGCCCACACATTGACACACATTCGGCCCGGAGCTTAGCCAATCGTTGCATGAGAACTGCACTTCCGCAGCACATTCAAATGATGCTGTTAATACTAATTTTGCTCCAGACTGAAAAAAATTATCTCGCATTTCACCCGTTTTCTATTAATAAATTACTCCTCTTTAAGATCATTTTACCCCTTGACTGATTGAAATTGCCGTAAAATTAGCAACAATTCCTTGTGGTATGTGCTCCGTTGGCTCTCCACTCATACGCCAGATGGGCTTCCCGATCGTTGTGAGAGGGACGGAAGATAGCATCTGGCCTAAAATTGTTCCATTTTCATGTCTTCCTTTTATTTTATTATTATTATTATTATTATTATTATTATTATTATTATTATTATTATTATTTTTTGCTATCCGACCAAGAATCTCGCCAGGGCCAGGCTGCATGACTGATTCCTAAACCGCCAAATCACAACATTGCGAGGGACCAAAGAGCATTTCTCTGAAAATGCGATCCTCATATCCGCCCAGGGAATCAGCATCTTATATTTGCGAACAGAAGCGAAATTGAAATAGACTAATACAGAAGCAACCTGCTCAAATGATTCATATATCAGCATCCATTTTCCCCTCTCTGCTATCAATTCGTTCTGCTCCACTCTTTCTCCTTTCCCCCTATCCTATTTCGCTCCCTAAGTCTTAGCTCGCTACAAGCTCCAAGATTTTCATCATCTTCGGTTCCCCTCCCTTCTGTCACATTTCACGTCTCTCCCAACTCCGGAGTTAATATGATCTAGAATTCCAAACTGAACTAAACTCCCCCAACAAAACAAACTCCGAAGTTACTTCATAGGCTAGCTACCCATCCATCCCAGTCTACTCTTCTTCTTTCCTAGGTGTCTACTCAGATCAGGAAAATTCCGCGGCCTCATGGGCTTATCACCTTAGCCGGGCAGAAGAGAGGGGAACCCAAAACCAGAGTTAGCAATAAGAGGTTGGTGTGGTAAGAGGAGAAAGCGAGTTCAAATCCACTGCACTCAAAATCGCTAGTCGTGATCTACAGGATGCACAGTGCATTCTCCCCCCGTCTGAGTTACATGCATGCTGACAGTCACCCCACGCATCACTTTTATATTCCTGTCGCTCTTTTTTATAGCCTTGGGAACTTATCACGTCTTTTTTTTTTTATTTCCTGCCTCTTGTCATTCAGACATGCTAGAGGGGTGCGTTACTTACTTTTCTATTTGATTCTTTTTCCAATGTCTTTAGGTGAGAAAATTCTCTCGTAATGCGATTTTCCTCTTACTTCATCTTCCTCCAATTCGTGTACCTGTTCTACAAATTCCTTCCCTGGTAGAAGAATAGGATGGCGTCATGCCAACCAATTCCTTAAACGCATTGATCAACTGTCCGAGTGCGGAACGTTTCAAAAGGAGTTGTATATCAGCGCTACATTTTTTTTTTTTTTTTTTACTTTCAATATGTACTGTGATTGCACACATATATTGCATCGGCAGCCGAAGAACATACGTTGACGTCATATTTGAAAAGTTGTATATGGGGAATGTATCTGACTATTACGAAACTCTGTTTTTGTTCCATCTATGATCCCTTTTTGATACAAACATCTGCATATAAGTCGAGCTGAGCATTGTGCGCTCCGCACAACAGGCAATTGCTTTACTGAGACAATAGTCAACTTCTTTCCCGTGGTCAACTCTGGTATTAATCCTTACCTGGTTAGGCCGACTTGCTATTCAATATACCTAACTCCCAGCCACGGTCTTTGTGATAGAGATAGGCCAATAAGTTTTGATTCACAGGTTCTCTATGCTTTGTGAATGATCAAATGTGTAGCTTTCCTGTTGATAGATTAAGTTATCTGAGTTGTTGTTTTCTCTTCTCTGTTCATCACGAAAAGAGTGAGGTCAGCATTATGTCTTCGCATTTAGCAAATATTAAGATGGAACATGGCATATCTTTCTCACTCAAGGTTCTAAACCTAAACTCGGACTTCAAATTTACTTCGTTTCAATGGTGCAACTTTTGTGTAAAGTGGAATAAGATACGGAGCAATGCGACCTCCCTGAATTGATCCAATGTCTTTTTTTCTTTTCTTTTTTTTTCTTTTTTTTTTCTTTTTTTTTTCTTTTCCTTTCTGTTGCAAAACTATTCGTGCCCGGAAGTAGTAGTAATGAAGCTTCAGGGATATTCATTGGAACATACTAGCGTTTGGCAAATCACATGAACTTACTCCGTAAATTGACTGTCAGCAACTGATTGCTGCACATGGACATAGAGGGAAAGATATGAATGTTAATATGGATCGCTTCTGGTTGCAACTCCATCCGCTGACAGGAACGAAGTTGTGCTGTGTTATGAGAAGCGGGATATAATGACTGCACAGTAGAAATTGATCAAGTTGATGTGGCACAACTAGCCTGCATGATGCAGCGGTCTGATGACTTCGAAAGTGCGAGACAAAACGTGTCAGGAATGGCTAGGAACGGTTCTTGTTGAATGAAGGTTGAAAGAGATGCACCGTTGCAGTAAAACAACGGCATGCTTTCAAGGGAAACTTCCTCCGTAAGCGTGTAAGCTTTAGTTATCACAGGGGTAGTGAAATATCTGATGATCCCCGCGCATCATCTCACTGGTGTCATAGAGCATTTGCCCAGGGTAAGTTAGCCGTGAAAACTGACTCTTGCGTCCTTTTTGACGAGTATGCAAAAAGACAAGCTGAAGGCAAGTAAGCTGACTTAATATTTGTTAGCAGATCGTATCAATAATCGCACATGTACGGTACGATGAGCAATTGTCCACGGATCGTTGCCATGAGGCGGATGACAGTCACATTTCAAATAATTTGACGTATGCCTGCAATGCAATATCAGGGTGGTAATCACGCAAAATCTTTCAAAATAAGCTTGATTTGGCATCGCAATTGATTTCAATTTGGACTGAGCTTGGTAACTAACTAATAACTGATAGTTAGTTAACGGGAAACCAAATTACTAACTAAACCCAAGAAGAAATGGTCTGCTATTATTCCCTTTGAACCACCAACTTCTTCACATCGTAAAATTTACTCAAACGAGGTTTCAACCCTAACTTACACACTCAACCTATCTTAGTAGCCTACCCTTCCCCGCTTCCCTCTGCGCATATCTGATCAGCCAGATCAGACCGAGCTTGAAAATTAACTATGTTCTAGATTCCAAGTCCTTATTTTGTCCTTTTTTTCGAGTTATGGTTTCGTGCTGTCGGCCGACTAGACGCCACATGGCGGTGAAACTTCAGTGGATCTCAGTTCCTCTCGACAACCCTGCCGATCTTCGCTTCCAATATCAAGAACAAAAGAGCCAGGTGTTCACATGACTAGCCGAGGCTAGGGTCAATGACTTTTTGGTCGAGAATACTAGTCACTGTGACATTTCCCTTTCTTTTCCTTTGTCCCAGCCAACTGTGTTGGGGGTTTTCAAGGGTTGTTGTGCGTCTTCAAATTTTGTTCCTCTAGAACGGGGAATGGAGAAGTCAAGTTGAGAAATTGCATATGTTCCCTAAGGTGAGAAGATATCAAACAGGTAAGGACTGCGGGATGTTGCCTGTCTCTGAAATTTCTCTATGTCTTCGGAGTGAATAATAAGACTAGTCGAGGAACTGCTGCATCCCTTGAACGAAAATGGACTGGACCCTTCCCAGTGGCTTTCCCTGCTTACAGAAGCTTGGGTGAATTTCAATAGAGAAAGGAGGATAGAAGGATTTTATCTTCCAATGTCATTCCGACGGGCAAACTTGCGCCAAAACGTAAGGAGATACGCAAGAAATTCGCCACTGAAGAGGCAGGAAAAAGAAGAGTCTTTATGAGTCATGAAAAGACCAGATAGACTGCAGAATCTCATAGGCGAATCGGGTCGCTGAAAGAGCTCAAAAATGGAGCAGAAGCCATTGCATAATCCACACGGAATATCTATCTGAAAAGATCGGTCAGGAAATGTGGGGGAAATCCATTGCTCCATACGGGACCAATTCAACACTAGTTATGAACAGCGTCCAAATCCGTAGACGGCAGCCATGTGTTACGTTGTTTGTTGAGCATCCAAGAGTGTTTCCATGGAACTGAGAAACGCCATTGTCTTTCTGGTGCCCGGAAATAAGAGAGAGATCCGATAACGCAGTATCATACGTTTTGGTGCTTCGGGCTGGGGAGTGCGAGAATTGGATATTGGGAAGAAAAACAATTTGCTGATATATCAAACCCAAGTTATTCCGTAGCCCAATCTTTTTCGGTAGCTTTAGCTTGGGAATGTTTAACCCTTGACCATAACTTCGGTTTTCAAATGTTGTTCCAGCTGATGAAGTTCAGATTCGTTTCGCACGTGAGGTATCTACATGGAAGACGACGGGCAACAGAAATTATATAATAATCAATCCTTGACTTTTCAATATGTTCAATATGTGACCAGCAAAGTCGAAGCATGTTTTATCTCAATGACAAAACAAAACAAATAAAATTAAATTAAATAAAATAAATAAATATAAATAAAAAATTTAATATAAATATAAAAAAAGGAAAAGAAGAGGGAAATTTTAAACTCTGATGCCCTCCATTGCTATTCAATGCAAATCATGTTGAAAATGGTGAAAACAAGGTGATTGGTGTGATATCGCATTTTCCGTTAACAGACAAGGTTACTTCAGCAAGTGAAAAAAAAAAAAAAAAAATGTAGGATTTCTTACATACTTTCGTCACCAAGCCACTCAAAAATCTCCTCTCTGCACATTGTCGACCACATAACTTCGCCAAGAGGTAGCCTGACAGCGAGAATCAAATTCTTGCTTCCGTGGTGAGGGGAAATGAGGGGAGATGAGGGGAAATGGAGTTTTTCGGATCCCACTCCATGGCAGAATAGCATGGCCATCATCTCAGCCATGCGGTTTGCTCCTCATCTGATCGCTGAATGACATCAATATTGAACGAGAGGAGGGGTAGAAATAAGCCATATCCATCTAGTCAAGTCGTGACAAACGGCTCCGTTGCAGAACAGAACGCGGGCCGATTTTCGTTACAGCTTTCCAAAGTCAGAGAGCCACATATGAGTGGGGCTGGTGGAAGAACCATTTAACAATCGCTGGAAACACCACATGATCGATTGTTCAACGAGGTCAAACCTTGGAGGAGAAATGGACGCAAATTCAGACTAATTAGGCTAGGCTAATTAGCGGAATTAAAAAATAGCGAAAGTTGGGAAATGGGGCCTGCAAGCTGTTATGTATTCTGATGAGGAGGTTTCTTAGGCAATATAATTCCGCCCAAAGCAGCATTATTCTCAACGGAAGAATGAGCAGGAAAAGGTGAAAGAAAATGAATATTAAAAATTTCACCCCAGACATTCGTACGAGAAGTTACTCAAGTCAAACAACCAAGGGTGTTTTATATCTCGCTCCACTAAGTTGTGAAGAAGTCTGAACCCAGGAGGACTTCTGCAGACTAGGGCAGATACATGTTTGCATAGATGTGCCAAATCTTTTCGCACTTCGTGCAGGAATTGCGGAAGAATAGATTCGTCATAAAGTGGTGCAAAATGAGCCAGATCGGGACACTTCAGCGTTCATCGGTATGCCCTTGTTGGATGTCCCACAAGATTTTCTGCGCCGTGTATCCGCGGAGGTTACTGTATGTCTAGTTTATGATCAACGCCGGCTTATCCGTATTGTGTGTCCATCTGGCCTTATATTTAAACGGTACCGGTTGATCAAAAACAAATGGTTGCCTTTTCTGGAACTTATTTCTGCGCTCGCATAGACGTGCCGGGTGCATACATTCGTTGAGACTACTTAGCATACACCGTAGATCTGTCTTGGGAAATGCAGAATTCTGCGATCGCTTCTCTTTCAAGTTGCTCTCTTTCTAAAGATATATCGATCGATCGATCGACAGCAAGAAAGTGTTTAGTGCAAGGATGCTTCTTTAACTGGTATTTTCGGATGAAACACAACGTCCCTAAATAGCAGTAATATTGCCCCTCATGGGGCGGAAAAGGAAAAGAAGTTTTCTAGGTTCAGGCCCTGTGCAGACGATCAACGATTATTACCCCAGATTGGAGGCCTCTATTCCTTCTTTTTACTTTTATTTTTGGGGCGCGTAACCAAGATCCGTTTCATTTGTTCGTTTTACCTCGAGCAAACTTCATCCCTTGACGCCAAAGAGCGAAGAAGATATCTGTCCAGCCAATAGAACCGCCTGCTCCGGACATTGATGTGATTTTTATGCAACCGCGCCCTCATCCTTGCTGGGAGCCAAGGCAATTTCAACACTAGCATTTGTATCAGCCAGTGAGCGGTGAGCATCGATCTGGTGGAGGCCTATGATTGGAGAATCTGGCCTCATCAGACCGGTCATTCCCTTGCGGTCGCTAAAGACTTTAGTGTTCATTGGCGGGAGTTTCTATTCTTAACTCTTCATCACGCATTGCGTATGCGTTCCAGAGGGGGTTGGGCATGGTGCGCAGTCTCGTTCCCCCTTTCGGAAATACGCAGCTAATGTCTACCCTTGTTCGGGCCGGAGGTGACTGCAGCCTGTAAGAGTCGAGAGTGGCTTTTTCACAGTGATGGGCCGATACTAGTGATGTCGGGTGAACTCACTCTCACTCGCTTGCCGCTATTCCCCCCTCCAGTCGAACCGTGCATATCTGGAGGGCATGGGAGGGATATTGAGAGTGTGTTAAGTATGCTGCTGAGTATTTGGAGAGTACCTTGCCATTGCTTGCCCCGGACATAATCGTTGTGTCTCTGGATGTACATGTATACCAGCCATTCGCAAACCGCCCTCCCCCATTTACACAAACAAATTTTATAACCTGACTCCTGGCAACTCGTATACATATATCTCCAAGCGCCCACCCCACCACCCAGGCTTCCTTGGAAGCTTTCCCCCTTGATGTGATTTCGTCAGTTCTCCTTATCCGATACCAATTTCTTTCTTTTGTTTGATTATAATTTGTTCCAGTATCATCGCTTAAAACGAGGATGTGCTTTGATAGCGGTCCTTCTCTGAATTATTAGAAAATCGTAGAACCGGCGACGGTCTATTTCCTTAAATTTCCTTGTTGAATATCATTCCTTCTCTGTTGCTTCTTATAACTGGCTTATCTTTCCACGCAGGCTCTATATTGCTTCTTGTTTCCAGTCATGGTAAGAATTTTGTCCTCTGTTCAAGGGTTTTTCTTCTGGTTTCCTCTGTTGATATGTCATCCCACAGGGCACTCCGATCTTATTTCAACCAAGGCAGTCATTAGGAGGAGTACAGACGTTGCAGAAACCGAGGTCGAACCATATGTCATTCCTCTCCACGCGATCATACAATTCCCGACCGTTGTCAGAAGCGACTGAGATCTTTGACACTGATTATGAAGCCGAGTATTCTCCAGAAGACTCTCCACGCCGAAGTGTTGAATCGGTAAGCGAAAACTTCATGCATGGATTTAATCAAATATCTAATGAAGGTGCAGTTTGGCAACGACAGTGCCACAACGCTGTCAACTGAGGATGAAGCTCCCACTCCCAACGAGTCGGATCATGGAACGTTCAACTTTCAGTTTGGTAAAAGCAAACCGGTTGAAGGGCCAACTGGACCCCATCTATTTCGAGCCTCGTTAGATTCAACATATCTCGAAAGATCTGATGATTTAGAATTGTACTTCTCGCTCTCCCCTCTGTCATCACAGGACATACGGTCGGCAAAGTCGACCAAAAGAGCCAGCATAGCAGCATCGCCAGAGCCCCCCCGGTACTCAGAACGACCCAGACCATCCAGTGTGCCGAACATATCTCCCCAATTCGGAGTAGATGATGTTATGTCATGGAATCCAATGCAAGTTGCAGAATGGATGTACGAATCTGGATTTGAGGATGCCATAGTTGAACGATTCATCCGGAATGATATCTCAGGCGCTGTCCTCCTCGATCTCCAGATGGACGATTTGAAGGAGCTTGATATCAGCTCATTCGGTAAACGCCATCGGTTGATGAATTTGATCCAAAGCTTCCGGGTTGAATCAACGAATCCTCTTCAGGACACTTCCGATCAGAGTATCTCTTCTCGCAGGGTCAGCAGGAGTCCACCCGCGACAAGAGACACCAGCATGGAATGCTTTTCGAATGAATGTGAGACTTCTACACGCGGCTTATCTCGTCGACGGGGCCACTCTAATCGTGTTTTCGCGGATGGCGATGTGATCTCTCCGGCAGAGTCGGTTTCCATCGTGGCTATCGAACAACTCCTGCCCAAACTACATACATGCTCAAAGGGAGATAACTGCGCAAGATTCCAAAAACAGCAACGGAAACTTGCACTCATGGCAACTGAGTTCCCAAACCAGTTCAGCACGGTCGATGGCATTATTATCCCCAATACCGCATATAGATCAGTCACTGGAAGTGTCGTGCGGCCCAAATCCGATGCAGCTCCCTCCGTCGTGGCTTCATCTGATGTTCTCGGCCCCAGTCCTCCCGAGTTCCAACTTAATGCTGAAAATCTCAACGGGGTGAAACCTAGAGATCCTCAAGAAAATGTTCGACAATTCCTTAACTTCCAGCACATCAACAGTCCACCGATGGAAATGTTTCCTCCTCTCTCCCCACCCGAATCTTCTCAACCCGCTCTCCATATGGCCAACAACCTTCGCAATCTTCCAAAACTCCAGATACCAAGGGATCGCTATTCCGATGGTATACTTTCGGGCGGCCAACGCACCATCACCCCTTCAATGGGATCAAGGCAAACAGGCTCTGCCACCGCCACTCAGGAATATAATCCTTACCAATATCCAATCGACATGTTTCGCCAAACCAATACGCCATTTTCGGAAATGGATGTTCCTATTACTGCGTTCCCTGTTGAACCACTAGACCGTGAAGCATCGCAATCGGTCCCGCCTAATATGGTTTACGGCAACACTTTGCACTCACGGATTGAACCAGTGTCACGTTCATTATCAACCAAACCCGAGAGTCACCGACGACGCCCTTCCTTTGTCACAATGGCTCGAGTCGACGAGTTCCCTGCAATGCAGCCGATTGATACCCTCTTTGATCTCCCGACCCCTCCTCGTCCAAATTTTACAACAGGACCCCGTCATAAGCCCCCCCATGTCTCTGGAATTTCTCCTTCGGCCCAATCACATCACTCCGACCCAGACGTTACCCACAGCGGATGGATGAAGAAGAGGAAAACAACACGTCTCCTTCGACATGAGTGGCAGGACGCCCACTTTACCCTCCGCGGCACCGTCCTCGCTATGCACAAGGAGAAGAACGATACACAGCGCCATTCTCGGGCTCTTGAGTTCATCGATGTCGATGACTACGCCGTTGCCTGCTCGTCCTTGGCATCGAACTCGAAACTCACTGCCGCATTCAAACGCTCTGTCCTCCGGAAAGCTGCCAATATATCAATGAGCTCTGATGAGACTGCATTTTCATTTTCGCTCATTCCCGCTAATAACAACGGAGAGCGGAAACCCCTCTTCACAGGTCCAGGAAAAAGCCATCACTTCGCAGTGAAGTCTCGGGATGAACGGATTAATTGGATGCGGGAGCTGATGTTAGCCAAGGCACTGAAGAAGGGCAGAGAGGAGGGTGGTGAACTCACAGTTAATGGAAGGAATGTCATCTAGACAAATCCCAGCAATGATAGTTATGCCTCTCTTTCATCTTTCGTTATCTTCTCCTCCCCTCTCCTTGGTTCCTTTTTTCTCCTCATTTTTTTCTTCCCCCTTGATTTTGAAAACTATAGCGAGCATTTCATGTTAATGTTTGTGTGAATACCCTTTGTGAACAAGTTGATACCCATGTCCTTTACCACTCTTATTGAGTTTCTTTTTTCCTTCCTTATACTTTTATTTCCATTTCTACAAGGAGCGGTTACGTGATAACCAAACTGAAATCGTATACAAACAGGAATATTTTCCTGCTGTGTTCGTCTTTACGATTCTGGGCGGCTACTCTTTCAACTTTGCACACCCATCTATATTTTTCCCCCTTTGCGTTTTAAAGCCCTTCATATATCACCTTCTGTTTTCTGAGCACTCAATGCGATGATACCTAAGTAATTAACTTTATTAGCACAATTAGTACAGAATAAAAATAGTGAATGATGAATGCAGCCAGTAACTAAGCACAATCTTTTCACTCATGTCCTTTTATCATCTCAGGCTCGTGGCAAACAATAGAGTCGAGGTCCCCAATGGGTGTTTGTGGCCTTTCAGTATCGAGAATTCCAGATATCGATTTAACTGTAGCACCAAAAGTTTTCAACCGCATTTAATGGTAACTAGTGTGTAGATCCCAGTAGAGACAGCTCCATGATGCGCTCATGCCAACCTCGTTAGCTCCTGGCACGCCGAACCAAGTATCAGATCCGTCAAAAGCTGTTAACGACTGTAAAGAATACCATGGTTGACATGTCCTCCAGCAGTTAGACTTTACACCCATTCGGTTTAAGTTGAACGGGCAACAGTATGTCTCATCGGCACACGCGTCACCACGGCTGTTCCATTAAGGCGCTAGCACAGTTACGGTGGATTATATGCGAAACTGTGGCTTTTTGCGCTTTTTGTGATCGGTGTCTGTCGATTGTCAGCTCTCTGGGGTTGAAACAGGCAGGTTGCGAACCAGTGTCACGGTGATATCAGATATTTGACTCTATCGGCGATCTAAATTATGGAAGTGGCTGAGCTCCCATAAAGAAATTCCCAATATGGGAAATAGCACAAAAGTTTTATCCAGGGAACCATTCGAGTGCATGTCCAAATCTCTCCAGTAAAGTGAGAGTGTAATAATATTGCACGTATCTCATCACGCGAAGCCGTGAAACTTCATTCCTACCACTACTTTGTCGAATTAGTATAGCTATCCAGAATTTCACTGAAATAAGGAAATGAAACGGCAGTTGGTATGCAATTATCATCTATTTTCAATAGGGATAAACCAAAACACCATATTCAGTCATTATCATTCACTTTCTGCGGAAAATGTGCATTGGCAGCAAACATTCTCTTTTATCCTCCTCATGGAATAAACTCAGAACGGGATGCAAGGATCTCTAGGAAAGCTCTCCTGTCAACCAGAACCCTGCCGGGAGCAAGTACAGCACACACTACCGCTATCCCCGTCATTTACCGTGCTTGCTTCATCCAACCATGGTAACGACAATGGCTAACCACCCATCTGCATACCCCGCCACACGTACCACTTCTTCAAGTGTTGCAATCAAAGGAACCACGGCTCCTTGGAGGACAGGTTTGGCTAGGACCGGAATCCGTTTGCTAGGGAAGAGACTCGGGAGTAGGGAATTCAGACTTGATCCAACAGTTTGTGGCTGCGACTGGGTAGGTCGTCCAGGAGCCCCACTCTGACTAGTTGAGGGTTGAATCGTTGGTGGAAATAGAGACTGTATTACTTTAAGAGAAGGGGTGGCGGAGTTCGGTGGGGACGGCAGGAAAATTCTCAGGGGGATGTTTCGAAATTGGTTGGGAGGGCTGGGGATGAGGATGTTCGAAATGCGTTGGAAGTTCGTGAAGTTATCTATCCTCTTTGTTAATGCACCTATTTTAACCGCTTGTAATGAAGGCGACAATATACGCACGATCTTGGACAGCTTGCCACAGTCCCGATGAATCTTCCTTCGACAATGTCATGATACCTTTCGCGGTTCCATTCCGAACAAAATCAGCTTCCTTGACGCTATTAATGAATGCATCGTGGATAACTCTTCCGTCAGCATCGAGGCGAACAAGCTCCTGGTCTGGCCAGTCGCTGAAATGAACCTGCAACCGCCAAGGAATTGGTTTCCGGTGTTCATGTTCACTGTGGTGGTCGGAATCGTCTTCCTCTCCTGGAGATACGGCATGCGAAACGTCTTCCCCAACACTGGATTTGGAAGTCACTGGATCTGCTCCGGAGTATAAATCATACAAAAGCCCAAGGGGGTAGTGCCATTTCAGGGGCACCCCTTCGAAAGAAAACCAGCCTTGATGAGGTTGGGTTTCGATATCAATCAACCAGGAAGCAAAGAATGCATGTAGCCTTGGAAGGAGAAACGGCAAATATGATACTCGAGGATAACATATCTATCGTATGATTTTGAGTCAGATAAATGCAGAGAAAACAGAAGAAAAGCACTAGATTAAGGCAAGAACTTTAATGTACAAGGTACGGGTCAGCTTTGTCATAAGTCCTGCATTCAGATGGAGATAGTGTTATCTCAAGTGGAATACGGCCATCCCATACTCTTCGCTGGATAGCGTTTGGGGATGGTGTTGGGCTTCCCATGACTCGCGCGATCTTGCCTATGAAACTTTGGCAACGCAATATTCATCATGGGGAAGGCCTAATGAGTATCATCGAGTCAGCAATCCCCAAGCTCACCAATATCGTTCAAACATAAACATTTGCTATAGCTCACATGGACTTGGTAATGGGGCAATTAGTACAGAAGCCCCGTTGTACAATACCCAAGTGCAATCAATATCTGATCTCTACTATCCAGGGGAAATGCAAGCCACCAGCAAGATAAAGTCTGGAAAACATTAATTGCAGTCGGTTTAACGTCGGATGTATCCGCTCTTCCCGCACCAGCGGGCTAACTGGGCGGTATTTAAAAATAGACCGAAAGATGATGTAGATGAAAATGCTCCTTTGACGTTGTGGGATAACTCGCAATGGATGATTACCTATGATAATTCACACGTGACCACAACATCTGTGGACATTGTACCATATCGCTCGCTGTATGCACCAGAAGTTATAAATATCAACATATTCTAATTTCTTGTTCGGAATTCTGTCAGGGTCACCTGTGGGATATAGAGATTGTTTGTGTCTTTTATCTGCAAAATTTCCCCGAAATCTAATTTGGAGACTGTCTCGAATACCTAATACCATCACTCAAACGGAGATGACTGCCGTGCACATCATCACAGAAAACAAATGATATAGGCACAAATTTCATATCTTTGAGTGTTGTCATATTGACAGCTTGTTTTTTGGTCCCAACTTGCAGGTGGAGGCCTTTCACAATCCACAGCACTAGATGTTTTATGGTCAATTTACACTCAAGATTAACTTATTCTCCACGCCCAGAATCACGGCTGTGATTGATTTCTTTCCTCGGCAGGTTCTCTTAACCTCACTTCAGAGCTATACAACTATGGCAGACAAGGAACGACCTCTAAAAAGGCGTAAAGGTTCCCATGGAACATCGGAGGTGGTCTATGATACCCCCTCAGGAGGCTCTAGCGTATTGGTGTCTCTAAACAGATCAATCACCCCCCCTATACGATCCCCTCCAAAACAGTCGTACTCGTCTAATTCAAAGATAGCACGGCAAGAGTCTCCTGTTATGCCAAACGGTATTCCGTCTCCAATCCAACTCACCCGTGTCCGTGATTTCCCTGCATCGTCAGAGAACAACACGGATACAGTCAAGCTGCGTGACATCCTTGGGGATCCTCTCATCAAGGAATGCTGGCAGTTCAATTATATTTTTGACATCGATTATCTGATGAGCCAGTTTGATCAAGACGTGCGAGACTTGGTCAAAGTTAAAATCATACATGGTTCTTGGAAAAGGGAGTCTCCTAATCGAATTCATATCGATGTTAGTAGACCTTGCATTTTTTTTTTTTTTTCCCCAACACAATTGCGGTGCAGCTTCATTCAATATTGGGCGGTATAGACGATACAGTCAATTCAAGTTCCCGGAAAACTAACTTGTGTATGTAGGAGGGCTGCCGTCGATATCCCAACGTTGAACCAATGGTCGCCTATATGCCAGAGGCCTTTGGTACGCATCATTCTAAAATGATGATCATTATCAAACATGATGACCAAGCACAGTATGTATCTTTATTCTACAAAAAGTTCTCAACCTCAATGCTGAGAATTACCACAGAATTGTTATTCATACGGCGAACATGATTGCAGGGGATTGGGCGAATATGTGTCAAGCAGTTTGGCGATCCCCGATGCTCCCCATGTTATCTAATAAGCAAAGAGAGCATCCTTCCGCCACTCCAAACGACGTTGGGACCGGAAGTCGGTTTAAGAGGGATCTGTTGGCCTACCTTGAGACATATGGCCATAACAAGACTGGTGCATTAATCGAACAACTGGAAAAATACGATTTTAGTGCCATTCGAGCGGCGCTGATAGCCAGTGTTCCCTCGAGGCAGACAATTGACGAACTAGATTCGAAAAGACACACGCTGTGGGGTTGGCCTGCGTTGAAAGACACAATACGGCAAATTCCCTTTAGTAAGGGGACGAAGAGTACTGAGAAGAAACCCCAAATAGTTATCCAGGTAGGCGGGATTGCCCTTTACCAAGAACTGAAAGCCATACTTTTGTGAGATTATTTATTTACAGGAACCACAAGATCTCTTCAGTGGCGACGTTAGGACAGACAGACAAGTGGCTGAAGGAAACGCTCTTCAACTCCCTCTCACCACCATCAGCCCGATCCTCGGAGTTATTTAAAACAGAGTCAAATTCCCCGGCAAATTTCTCAATCATATTTCCTACTCCAGATGAAATCCGCCGATCATTGAATGGTTACATGTCTGGCGGATCAATTCATATGAAACTCCAAAGTGCTGCTCAACAAAAGCAACTTCAGTACCTACGACCATACTTATGTCGCTGGGCAGGTGACGCCAACGATGATGGTGGTGTAAAATCCGCAGGAGGTCCCGCCACATCTAAACGAAAACGTCTCGAAGGCAACGATGTCAGCGAGTCCGTACAAGATTGCGCTGCCCTAAAGAAAGAGCATCGGCCAATTCGAGAAGCCGGACGTCGCAGAGCAGCGCCACACATAAAAACATATGTCCGGTTCTCAGACACAGACATGACCACTATCGACTGGGCAATGGTGACTTCTGCAAATCTATCTCTGCAAGCATGGGGCGCAGCGGCGAATGCAAAAAAAGAGATTCGGATATGCAGCTATGAAATAGGCGTGCTAGTCTGGCCAGATTTATTTGTTGACGAGGAGATAGATGATAGTGATGAACCTCTGACGAAGGGGAAGGGCAAGGATAACAGTAGGAGGGAAATAAGCGGGAATAAGAACACAAAAGACGTGAAAACCGCAGTGATGGTGCCTTGTTTTAAGAGAGACATGCCTGAAGCAGCGGAGAACGCAGCTCGTTCGTCTGATACAACGTTGGTAGGGTTCCGCATGCCATACGACCTTCCTCTCCACTCATACACTGCAAAAGACCAGCCGTGGTGCGCTACGGCTACTTACAGTGAGCCCGACTGGTTAGGTCAGACGTGGGAAGTAGAATAACTAGAATAGCTAATAGCGAAAAAGTTGGCTCGATGCAAGCCCACATCCATTTGTGAATGCGTCTTAACAACTACGCTGATATGGACAAGCCCGTGTCTGTTCTCTGGCTTTTTCTTTCGCGCGCCTACGAATAAATCCGCGCTGCTTTGGATTTTCAGTTAATTAAACTCTGTTGCCAGATACTTCTGGCTCCCTTCTGAGTTGCGTCTTTGCCCATTGATGAGTTGCCAAACATTAGATTCTCAAGGGCTCAAGGGCGCAAGGGCGCATTGGTGATGCATTTCACGTCCAACCTAAAACTAACTAGTTATTTAGTTATCCTCTGCTTCCACTTATTTGTAAACACTCAATCACATCAAGTCCTTAGCAGACACGCGACACAACAGACGAAGATCGGAAAATATATATATTCGCAGTCGACCATAATTCCGTCGAACATCGAGTTCTCGAGCAAACAAAACCACCCTGGGTTGGCAGGCAACTTGGGCTGCTGTGGGGTTTCCGCGGACACCTCGTTCCTCTTCGTTCCCGTCCGCCCACCCGATCCGCTCCGAGACCGAGAGTGTCCGGCTCCGAGTTCTTCCCGCGCCGACATCTTCGTTGCCATCCCATGGATTTGACCGTCTTCCCCGCAGACCATCACGCCCAATAACCATCGACATAAATGACCGTTTCGTCGGCCTTCACTGCCTGGCCCTGCGTCCCCTTCCAGCTGGCGAAGTGCTGAAAGAACCCCGTAGGAGCCTCAGACCACACCTGAGGAAAAAGCCATCCTGGACGGAGACACACAGCTGAACCAACCCCTCCAGCCACTCCAAACCCCTCCAACCCCCTCCATTTCGGGTCAACAATTCTATCTATCCTCTACAATACGTTTGGTATTACCCGGGCGGTTTGAAGGGCATCCGTCCCTCGCCTACCTCGAGGAGATCACGCGTTGGCTACCGATATCGAACCCACTCTCAGGCAATCTCAACCTCATACTTTATTAGACACTTCGAAAAGTTTGCCCTCATATCCCTTATCGGAAGAAACCCCGAGGACGAAAAAAACAGGGTGGCTAAACAGGATAAACACTGTACAGATATCTTGGCGGTCCTTTTTTCCACCCTTTTTAGGTGTTGGGTGTTGGGAGCTTGAGACGAACATAACCCCGGTTAAGCATGTCATACACGTTGCATCGCACCCAAATGATGACATATCGTTGATATCTTCGCCATCCCCGTCGATTCTGCGGCGAGAACTCTTCTTGCTTTAACTCTAGCAATTGTCCGATGCCTGCGGCATCGAAGATAGAATAATAAAAGAGCATTCGGGCAACATCAGCCTCGAGCCTCTTTGTCACTCAACACACAACGGTCTCTTAACCATCACAACGTTGACGACGTCGGCGACGTTGACACCATGTCTACCAACCGCCCTTTTCTTGCCAATTTTTTGGCAGCCTTTCGGGCTCAATCTGCCTACAAATCAACCAAGCCTCCCTCTCCAGGTCCTTCCACGAATCCTCTTTCACAATCCCACGTTACATCCGCAGCGAATTCACCATCCACGTCCTCGAACACACGAACCGTAACTACGAAAACGGTATCTCCATCCAGCTCTGCAGCAGGCTGCACTGGCCACACATCGGCAAGCCCCCCACCCCAATCTACGACTGCAGCCGTTCAAGCAGCAGCAGCGGCGGCAGCAGCGGCATCGGGCCAATTGCATTCTCACCATCCTCACCGCCACCACGCACCAACCCACAGCACCTCTACATCGTCTCGCGCCCAATCGCATTCCCGTTCCGGTCCTTCCCCTAGCACTACTCCAACATCTGCCGGTCCACTACCCATACCCATACCATCTTCACATCACAGGCACCGTCGGGGAAGCGACAGCAGCAGCGGGAGCGGAGGCTTCCGGGATGCTCTAACCTCGGAAAAATGGTATGTAGGTGGACGGACAGCTGCTGGGGAAGAGCGTTTTTACCCTCTCGGCTTAGTGACAAAGGGAGGGCGACATCTGGGGAGAGTTGGAAGCGCAGATCAGCTCAGTCTTTAGAAAGAAAGCGTTAAGTAAGGTGGAATAGCGATGATCATGTATGTGTGTGTCTGGTCTGAAATTACCGGTTTTCTACGACCACCAGGTGTTTTGACTCCGTCCTGCAGTCGACGAGTGAGTGATATGGTACTCTTTTCGTCTCAAGATCTAAGTTTCCATCGAAGTCTCCGCTCTTAAAAGGGTCCATTTTTGGGGCTTCCAGCAGATGGAGGTGCATTGCAGGACTGAGAAACACACATTCAAATGTTAATAATATGTGATCAGTGGGGAGGGGTCGCAGCTCCCCTGGAGTCCCGACATAGACCATGTGGGAAGCTTTGCAATGCATATGAGACAGGGAAGATGTCCCTATTTATGATCGACGAGAGACCACATGTGCCTGTCCACCACCTTCTTATCCCTTAAGCAGGGATCACGTTTTTCTTTTGATATTTATATCTAATGTTTTGTGGAATATGACTCATGAAAGACAAGTTCATTTTCATGCACATATCTTGTTGGATGTGACAGTTAGTTTCTGCTCCCTCTCCTTTCATTTTCGTCTTTCATTTTCAGCTTTTCTTAAAACCATCTTTCTGTTAATCTCCTCTTTTTTTCTTCATTTCTCTTTTCCGCCATCATCATAAAAGATAAAAAGGAGCGTACAGTACATATTTCCTCAATCATGTAACCTATCATAACTTTGTTTTTCTAATAAGCATTGGTTAAAAAGAGACGTAAATTGCAATCAGATACAAGCAATGACAACTATACATTATTGATGAATGAGATAATAATAGCAATTATAAGCAGAGAAAAAGATCAAGATGCTCCCCCTATATCTCCGGTATGGGAGGAGTGAGCGCCCCTGATTTTTAAATAGTAGGCTGGATATGAAGGGTGAGAAATGTGATTAAGTGAGAAGATAAAAGATGTATAACCCTTAAGGTTGAACTCAAGTTTTGTAAGCGGAAGCAAATTCTGAGGGACTTCGAGGCTTTTCTGACTCTTTTCTTCTGGAGATCTTCCAAGGTCTTGCTCAAATAATGCAAAAAAAAAAAAAAAAAAAAAAAAAAAAAAAAAAAAAACTTAGATCTGTTTGTTTATCCATCTATGCTATTGAAAAGAAGATACCATTCTACTCCTCTGAGGAATAATACAGCTAGCGACCTTATCTATCAGGCTAAATACAAGGTAACAACTCCCCTGGAGGCTTATATTTTCTTAAAAAGGACGAGAAAGGGGGATGTAATTCTATTGAAATCAGAACGGAGATAAAATGGAAACATATTTTTAGATAATCTATACTACATGCACGTCTGCTACTACCCTCTCTGTCTCATCCCTTCTCACTGATCGTTCGACACACCCGTGCGTGTGGGTATATAAAGCCAACTGAAAAAGGGCAAGGTAAAAAAGCGTAGCCCAACGTCTAAAGGGTTTTAACGAGATAGTTCAGAAGGGCTGCTCATTTTTAATTCAATTGATTTCAGAATTAGATATTATGTTTTGCAAATAAATATATAATGGAGAAGGGTGCAAGGAGGATGAACTAACGTTATCTTCAGGAGGGATGCTTCGTTCCCAGTGTCCACCAATGATGGGGATATTCATCAAGATATCCTTTCGGACACGGGGGACCTCGCCAAAGAAGAAAACAGCGAAAATAGCGGTGGAAACACCGAAGGCGGAGGCAATTGCACCACTAATTTGAACAATAAAAGGTGAGTGATGTTGCCAAACTCAGATACCAATGTATAAATTGACAAAAGGTCCGCAAGCAGGTCGAGAACGCATGTTCTCAGGATTCGATCATAATACCGAATAAGCTATAATAGGAATATGAAGGAACAGAGAACTTACTATCGGGAAGCGGTTTTTAGAGGAAGGTTGCCAATGTGAGGTTGTACCTTTGCTCTATATGAGATATCGAGGTTAGCGTATGTTAGTTGGAAGGTCGGGTTGAATCAATGTGCAATATAAAAAAGACCAATGGAATGCCCTCCAATACACAGTCAACGCGGAGAACATTGGTCCCTCTCTCGCTCTTTTATCATAACACCATCGATTCGCAACTCCTCAACCTCCATTATGCCACTGTCGGAAAAGCGCAGGGTTCCCTTCTCTTCCCTCTTTACCAACGAATCATTCGATAATGCTTGTATTCACCCGTTCCCTTGGATATCTATCCACGAGGTTCGACTCCTGCCATTAATCAATCTCGATATTTTCAGGCTCACGAATAGTCCATTCGAATTCTCTCATGTCCAAGATACCTCTCTGAAACCCCGAAGTCTCGCAATTATTCAAATCCCCTAGAAAAGAAGCCGAAAGGAGAGAAAGGTATCATCCTTACCTAGACGCAAAGGCAGATGCAGCGGCCCAGCGAGCTGGGGTGGGGGATACCTATTGCCGAAAGGAACACACATGTTAGAAAAAAAAAATTCCTTAGTTTACATGGCAAAGAAGAGTAGAAGCACCAAATAACGAAGAAAAGAACAAAAAACATTAAATGTCCGCCAACAGGACACCGAGAAACAAAAATAGACAATTCCAGTTTCCAATCCCAGATATCGGACTTGGGGTTTAATGCAATGACGATCATGACGACAGCAACAGAATGAGATTCCAGCACACAACTCCTTTTGCGGTGCCAAATTGAAACCGGTCGCCCGCTGCCTCAATGGCACCCCGGAATTGGCAATGGTCGAATTTACAGAACGCCAAAAAGTAGCTTGCTACCATCGTTCGCTTTGCATTCCGTTGTATTTTTCCATCATCATCATCGTCATCATCGATTCACAATCCCATATTCAACCATGAACGCGACCGCAACCACCAAGCCTGTAGGCGGACCCCCCCCCCTCCCTTCCTCCCATTCCCAGCTCCGCAGATCGATTGATTCAGAGCCCCTTCTGTTTGCTATCTTGTCTCAGTGTGAAGACAACAAATGCCCTGATCCACAATAGCAATTCCACCAGCCATCCCGATCTCACAATCGTCCATATTAAAATAAACTTGAAAAACGTCGAACCGTTGCTAGGCCTAAAACGGGACAATTATGAAAAGACAGAACGTACCATTGTGGAAAATATATCAATTCACCAACCTAGAAGAGAGAAATAAATAGAAAGGAAAACCGTAATTGAGGTGAAAGAGAGAATTGGGGGGTGGGAATAAATTGCTTTTAATGATGTCGTCGTTGCGGGACCGCGAGAAAGCGCTGCATCACGTGATAGTTTTCGTGTTCCGGGAAAACTTCTGTCCGGCGTGAAATATCCGAAAGCACAGACGGCGGGTGTGTTCTTTATACAAGATGCACGCACATTCATTAATTTAACGAGCTCGCTAATTGCCTCTCTCTATCACTAGTTAACACAACAATCCATAATTAATCCTGGAAATATACAGAAATATGATGCACAATCCTGTCTTCACCCTCCTTCGAACATACGGACAGAATCTTTTTGGATTTGTATTTTTTAAATTCACTTTTATTATATACAGATGGTATATATACATATACCTAGGTAAGGTACACATATCTATGTACGCACACATATAAGTATTCCGCTCCCTTTATCAATTTTGTAAAAAATAAAAAATATAAAAAAAAATAACAAAAAAAAACTTTGCACAAGAAGCAGCAAAATGTAAAGCAGAAAATAGAACCGTAAGGGTGAGACCGGGGGGGGGTGGTTCTATTCTTTCGTCGTCAACCTTGACGAGTAATCAACAAAAAGTACAAGTGGAAAGGAACCAAACAGACGAAGAAGCAGAGCAATTCAAAAGTATGATGAACTCATACAAAATGCATCTGGAAATTAGCGCAAAAAGGCAAAAACACGAAGTGAGCGGAGCGGAATAGGAAGCAGAACAATGAAATGGCAAAGGTCAAAAGAACACCATCTTCGCCACAATAAATGAAAACAGAAAAACAACAACCTTTCCTCACACCCGGTCCCATTTTAAACCTCCTATTTTTTCCCCCATCGTTTTCGGTTCTATTTTCCTATCCTGCACCCCAGGATCTATGTCGCCTGCATCCTTTCCTTTTTTGCCTTGTGGCTGCATCGTTTCCAGCGTTGATTCTGCTTCCCCATTTCCTAGATCCCCGCTTTCCATACTCTATTCTGGAGTCTAATTTGCTGTCGTTGTAATTGTCGCTGCCGTTGTAGCCGTCATCGTAAGTGGAGCTGGAAGTGAGATATTGCATTCCATTCCATGGAAATCTATCTTTTTCGATTGCGCAATCTCGAAGTGGGGTATTTTTTGGGAGGAAACATGTCAACAACGAAATAGGAACTAAGAAGGAACAAAAACAAAAATGCGAGATGCAGGACTATGAATGGAAATATATATATACGTGACAAAACCAGAACAATTTTAATGAAGCAATAAAACAAGTACCAATCTAGAACAATGCAAAAGCTGAACAGAGCCCGCCGAACCCCGCCAAACCACCATCCAGGAATGGAAAGGAAAAAAGGGTGGAAAATAGAAAGGAAGAAAATATAGAAGAAAAAAAAAAATGATAACTGGAAACCTTTATGGAAATGGAGATCTTGTACATATGAAGAATATGCAGGTTAAGACAGCCGTAACAACGTGAGAAAATCCAGCGTGGTAGCCTTTTCGCAACAATACGAAAAAAAATATGACAAATGAAAACGGATAAATAGAGAGGAGAGTCAAATAAAATAAGCAGAATCAAAGGCTTTCCGGATAAAAATGGTGAACTTATATATATATATATATAATATTGAATAATCGTGAAAATCAAACAAGGAAAAACAATAATAACATGCTCCGACCCCAATCTATAAATGCTAGTATGCTTTGTCCGATTTGCCTGGAAGGAAGATGCCTGTGATGGTTTTGTTCATTCGCACCCGCGCCCAGCGCGCTTGTCGTAATTTTAGTTTCTTTTGGACCGATGCCTCGATGACAGGAAAGGGAAATGGGAAAAGCGTAGCTTGTACTTGTCACGAAAAAAGTTTTTTGAGTGGCCATATGTGCAATTTGTGCCAGGAACGAGGAACATGGAACGTGGGAGAAATGAATATATCGACATGAAACCAAGGAATGGGAAGAAATGGTACTATAGAATGGAGACCGAAACCCTTCAGTTAAGATTTTCTTCTTTTTGGCCATAATTTGCCCGATATCAATTTCATCGACCGTGTGACGAAATGGGTGCCATCGTATATTCGTGTTGCTAGAGACCAAATAAGCCCAGCGGCGCGCAAATTTGAAGATCGGCTTAGAACCGTGGGTGAAATCAACTGCGTAGCCTTCGTGCTGTTGTCCGAAAGTCCGAAATAGCAACTTCACGGTAGATGCCAACGCGCCAACCAGACGATGGGGAGATGGGTATTGCAACGCCATGACGGGATTCCAAAAGCGTTTCCACTTTTGGGAAGCTTGGTGAGTATATTTGAATATTTTCGGCGTGCGCAGATTGGTGGGATGATGCAACGCAGGATGGATACACGGGACTAGCGTGCCCAAATAGCTTGTTTGCTGTTGGTGATAGTGTCATCTTTGGAAGCGCAGCCAGGACAGGAAAGTGACTGATAAACGGCATTGGTGACTAATCCACTAGAAATGCGATGGACATTGGAAGTGAAAACAACGATGGCTTGGGTAGAAGGACCTCCTGTTTCCCACGCAACATCATCACACGATACCGGGAATTTGATCTCATGAGAATTCCAAATGGTCAGTGGTCGAAGACGTGGCATCCGCTGGATAGAAGGAAACGAGACCATATCTCATTTCCTACACCATCCGGACATGCCAAACGTCCCGCCGCATGGTTGAAGGGTTAACTACTAAGCAAAAAATAAGAAGGGATTCGGGGCGCGAAAGGCTGTAATAAACGAAAGCGACGAATGATGCGAGATAGTAAAGCCATATTGGAGCTTGCTGCGGCGCGGTTTATCCAGATCACCATGGCAGACGAGGACACAGGCAGTGTTAGGCATGAATATATAGCAGCACATGGCAAGAATTAAGAATCATCGTCCGCATCTAAACAATTAAAATTGGCGATATTCAAGTAGGGCCAATGGCCTTGATAAATAGTAAGGAGATCGAGAAAAATCTGTCATGTTATCGGCCGTCCAGCAATCCCTTAGCTATGAGGTACTACCGCGTAACATTATTGTCGAGCAGGTTGAACGGTTCCTGTAAATCCAATTAGGAAGTAAATGTCAATGAGGCTGTCCATTTTAGTGTGCAGCTGGTTGTCCTGTGACATGTTAAACATTCCAGAAGAGAGGTTTAGGGGTTAGACGCACCGTCACCGCCCAAGCTGGTTGATGCCAAATAAAGTCCATTCAAGCCTCCCTCAGCCTGTCCACTCGTTACTGTCGGGTAAAACTTGCGATCAGGCTCCACTTGAGAATGCATTGTCTCCGGGCCAGGTGCTACTGAAGATTGGAACATTGGCTGCATATACCCATCATGAGTGCCGGCCTGGAACATCGAAGTCCAGTCGATATCACCAGACTGACCGTGATTTGGTCCAGTTTGCGTGCTAGGACGTCTATTATCTGGCATGTTGGCAGCTTTGGCATCGATGGGAGGGAGATCAACGTTGGACTGGCCAGTTGTGTCAGCTCCAGACTGCGAGAGATACGAACTCTGTTTGGGTTCAGCCATCCAGGAAGCTCTCTGATGCATCTGGTTTTGGGTGTATCCATGATCAACATGACCACGGTTCATCCCGCTAACAGGCTGCATCGGATAACCAGGAGGCCGCTGATCCGTGTACCCAGGGTTGTGGCCAGAGGCCATCGAAACCCCGTTCACGTGCCCTTCCCCAAACGGTGTTCCGACAATGCCATTAGAAGTCGGGACGGAGCTACTGACTTCTCCTGAAACAGGTTTAGGGACAATACCCGCAGCCTGAGCTTTCTTCAGATGAGCGTGGGGATGTGACAAGTGGCTAACGCCCGTGGGATTGCCCCGACGCAACGAGCATTTTTGAAAGTGACGTTTCAAAATATCGCTTCGGGAAAATGTATCTTTGCAAAGAACACACATATATGGGCGATCACCGGTATCTATAGAATGAAAGCGGTTAAAACCAGGTTTGATAAGTGTCAAATATCAACAGGAAAGAAGATGAAAATGTTCTTTCCCCTCATTTGGACAAGCGAATATGTAGTCATAATCCACTTACGCCTCAGTAGATGTCGTTTAAGATGCTTTGCATGCAGATACGTCTTATTGCAGTGCGGGCAAGGGAATTTGCCATCTGCGTCCTTGGCAGGGATAGCGGCTTTTCCGGTACCATTTGCCCCGTTAGTAATGGCAGCTGCGCGACCTGGGACACTCGGAAGTATCCCTCTCCGGCCTTGGGAACCAACGACCTGGATACGTGGGGGATCCTTTGGAACGAAAGCTGTGGAAGTATTAGGTAAGCCTGGTGAATTTGCAACCAAGGGTCCTTTAGTTTCTGCATTGCTGGACGCACCCGACGGCAGAGCACCACCATATTCTGTTCTTCTATCCCGAGGAGGGGCAGGCGCAATGAGTTGGGGATAAGCCTGCGATGTAGTTGAAGGAGGTATCAGGGCATGCGGGTGGTATTGCTGTTGGTTGTGGTGGTGGGTTAAGAAAGAGGATGACGGAAGACTGTTGACTGTACTATGGGGCTGCATTGGGGCGGAAGATGCAGCGTACACGTCGCTGGCGGAGCTGGGCGGATACCTGGACATATCATGCCTGAACGGCTGTCCTAGATAGTTGGGATGAACAGGAGAATGGCTCTGATGATGTTGGAGCGGGGGCAAAGTATGCGGCTGGGCCATAGAATAGTGTGGCTGCATCTGATACTGATGAAGATTGGACAGAGGGGGGGGTCCCTGAGGAGGAATGTTTCCAGAAGTGGGCCTCGAGACTTGGGCTCTGATATGATTTGGATCCATAATGAAGCAAGGAAATAGAGGAAAAATTCGAACCGGTACTGTGTAGGATCGTCGAAACCATCGATTGTGGGATTTTCAAAAGGCTCCAGGGACGGGTTTAAAAGAAAAATAAGATAAAAGTAAAAAATAAATAAATAAATAAATAATAAATAAATAAAGCTCAGCCGGAGGTAGGTAGTTGGGCAGGTTGAAGGGAATAAAAAAATCTATAAATCGTCAAGTTAGCCATGAATATCCCCACCAATGCAAAGACAGATGTCAATGCCAACGCCACGCCCATGAAATTTGTTTCTTTGTTCTCAAATTGACTGATGCACACGCACATCCACAGGGCCAAAAACGTTGCTGCATAACGGCCGTGGATGTGGCAACGAAGGATGGTACTAACCAGAAAAAACGAACGGAAATAATTCGCGAATTTGTCGCGATTAGAATAACCTTGAGTTGTGGTGATTCCGGACGGCGAAGGTGGCTGTCTGGCCAAAACAGAGTTTTAAATCAACGCGGTTTTGTAGATCTTCACAAAATTATGGAGGAGAGCAAAGTGAATAATAGAGTGAGAGTGGATTGAGGAGGTGTGGTCAATGGATGCGATGGTTGACAGTGAGGGGTGGTGATAAGCAACTAGGTTCCACCTTAGGGACGGATATGAAGTGGAGGCCGAAGATTTTGAGCACCGACGTGGACAAGGGAGCGGAATGGGAAAGTCGAGAAATGGATATTATGGGATTTTATGCTGTATCCCACAGGATCCACCGGGAAAACAACGGGAGGGATGCAATGAAAGTATAGTCTGCAGAGATGAGTAAGGATAGACTCGAGACTCGAAAACGCAGTAGATTGCGAGGGGGGTTAATTGAGAGAGAGATAGCGAGTGAGTGAATATATATATATGTGTGTGTGTGTTTATATATATATATGTGTGTGTGTGTTTATATATATATATGTGTGTGTGTGTTTATATGTATGTGTGTGTGTGTGTGTGGGTGTGTGTGTGTGTGTGTGTGTGTTTGTGTGTGTGTTTGTGTGTGTGTATGTTTGTATGTGTGTTTATGTGTTGGGAGAGAGGGTGAGAAGAGTGAGTGAGAGTGTGTGAGAGAAAAAAAGAAGAATAACCGGTAGGGAGCTGGAAAAGAAAGTCGTGCAGTAGTGAGACTTCAAAGTGACGGGGATGAACGGGAGTGGCAGCAGGTGAAGAAAAAGAAAGGAAAAAAAAAAAAAAAAAAAAAAAGAAAAAGAAAGAAAAAGAAAAGAAAAAGAAAGAAAAAAGAAAAGAAGAGAG